GTAATATAAAGAATCTAAACAACAACAAAATTTAAACAGTAAAAGATGGAAACTGCAACCATGATTTTTAAATATCTTTCAATAACAATATTGAAATTTTCAACTAGGAATCTAGGATTTTCAACCGTAATAATAACTCCTGAACCAAACATGCTCAAACAATATGAAACACTTCTTCAACATGTGTTTCTAAAAATTATAGCATTTGTCAATCAAGAAGAATTCCACTCATTGTCAACTACAATTATTAAAATTGTGTATCCAAATAATATTTTACAGATTTTGAATAAATAAATAAAAACTGTAAAAATATATATATATCTAAATAGTGGGTCATGAGGATGTAAGCCCCATTCTGTTAGACTTTATACATGTTGTAAGTACAGGAAATATATATTTTTTAATCAAACATTTATAGCGAACATGAATAGAACAAGAGCAGTGTATATATACTGGACGTCAATAATTATAATCATTACAAGTGTATCCAACATTGCTCTATGGTTATGGTGGGATATAACCATTATATATACACGTAATACAAAATGCTGTAAAATAATAGAACATGTTTGACTAAAAAAAATTGTCAATAATAGAACATGTTTGACCAAAAAGATAAAAAATAAAATTGTCATCCATTAGCGCATGGTACAATAATAGATATATCTATGAGATATATAACTGAAACGATTTGAATAATAATTATTATATAAATCAGAACTGACTAAAAAACCGGAACTGATATTCTTTGAGTAATATTTCTGTTGGATAACAAATAAACAGTAAATCTGCCCACGATAACAAATATTTTTAATAAAATACGGAACTGGTAAATTTGTAAATCGTGCCCACGATAACAAATACACTTGTAATCGTGAAAATAAATAAATAAAAAACAAAATAAATCGGAACAATATATTCTTAACAAAGCGGAACTGATATATTGTAAACGGTTTGTACGAAACAGCTCGAAAAACAACAGAAAAAAAAAAACTAATGATCTACACGATTCACGTGGCTTGAAATCCAGGTTGAGAAAAGCCTTTACACAAATTTCGAATCAAGTACTCTTGAGTTTATCAAACACAACAATAAACCAACTAGCCACTAGGGAAACTTGCAGTAATAATAAATTGAAGACTTAAACTATTCATGAAATTATGGCTGGACCTTTATGAAGAAGGCATATAACACTGTAACGTGTCCCATTCAAATAATATATGCAGCGTATATTTAAAATACAACGTGGATATGCTACTCAATAATATAATAATAGGAACAATATAAAACCAATTTTATTGTTGAAGCTTATTAATCTTCGCACATTTGAATCCGTTACTGCAAACCCATTTGATTTTACTGGAAGCAAAAGATAAGATATATCTTATTGTTACAATCTTCTTACAATCTTCTTAAAAATCGGAATCGATAAAATCGGAATTGATATATTTATTAGACACCAGTAAGATATATCTTTTTCAAACAAATATGACGATGCGATTCAAGAAGTATATCTACTAAATTGAATCAGTCAACAACAAAAAATATCACGGTAAAAATATATATATCTAACAGAATAGATATATCCTAAATATATATATATATATATATATATATATATATATATATATATATATATATATATATATACCAAATATAATAACAATATCATATGTAACATCCCGAAACGGTACTGTGGACAGAGGGTATATGAACAGTAACAATATAATAACATAACACTTGTATTTCTCAATAACAATATACCAAATATAACATCCCTATACCAACTATAATAACAATATAATAACTCGATATCTATTGTTATATGTCATTGATCAAGATATCTATTGTCATATGTCATTCAAACGGTAAAAAAAAAGAACAGTAGTATTATATCACGATGAAGGTTATCTAGAAGGTATATGAACAGTGATATGTCATTAGAAATATATGAATAGAAATATTTCACGTCTGGTTCAATTCCCTGAGTGTAAAATACCGAAAAAATCGTTTCTTGTTAAAATAATATAATAATCTGTTAATTTATTTATATAACAAGAAGTTTCTGTTGAAATAAAAAACCGTGCCTTGAAAATCGGAATTGGCAAAACAAAAAACGGAAAAGCGGAACAGTAATAGTGATACTATATATACACTAACATACAAGTTAATATCATGGGTTTACAGTAAAACCACTAAACAAAACACTAATGGTTATGTTCCACGGAATATTACTTCAAGTAACTGATATCATGCAACAAATATCACGAAAAAGTATGTAACAGTTATGGCCATGACACAACATTTAATATAATAAGACAAATACCAAATTTTGATACCCTGGATCATCTATTATTTTGGCACTAATAGATGTATATGTTCAAACGGTAAAATATTTAATCATGCCTTTGAAAATCGGAACTGATAAAACAAATAAACATTTCAAGTAAACAGAAATTTGCCTTGAAAATCGTGCCCACGATATATCTATTGATAAACATTTCAAGTAAACAGAAATTGGCCATGAAAATCGGAACTTAAAAAATGGAACATTATATTATAACAAACAAACAAATTTTCACTACAAAACTTCCGTGGACTTCTTCAAAAGTTTTGAATAAAATAAATAAATAAATCAACTTGTCAAAGTAACAGAAAACCAACCACTAACATAATACTGCAGATACACCAGCTACCTTATTATAGGTCTTCCTTCTCCAATTTCTGGATACCGATAGCTTGAACGTAATTTATAGGGAATTCCATATTTCTAAAATTTATTAATCCATTTCATTCTCTTCTACGTTACTTCCGTACGCCATAGACAAATAAAAATAAAGATCTCATAGCTAACAAAGTATACCGCAAGACAAATGGTAAAACGACAATTCACTAAAAATAAAATAAAAAATGTAAAAACGACAGACTAACAAAAAAGTGAAAACAATAATGAGAAGTTTAATCTCACTAACAAGCACATGCAACCATGTTTTATCGCAAAGTATTTTAAATAACCCAACAAAATGAAATATAAAGGGTTAACAACGTAGAAGAAGATGCCATTTAAATGTTAGAATGAAGGTACTGTAGCTATAGCAAACTTAGGTCGGATAGCTAATTGAAGCTAACAAAAACTCAGTAAATATTAACGTAAAGATTTCGACGTGTAGAGCAAAACCCTAAGTTTCTTAATTCAATACAAAAAAAAATTCATGAAATAATGCATAAAAAAAATCCCAAATTCTTTGATTCCATTCAACAACATGGATCCTATAATCATATACATAAGGCTCTGATACCAAATGATAGAAATATTTTAACCCTGAATCATGTATATGATTATAAAATACTTAAACAATATGAAATCAAAGTTGAGATTGTGTGTACCTTATTGGATCATCACAAAGTCGAAAGAGAAAAGGGACTACATGCCAGATCTTCCTCTCTATCACCTATTTCGATAAAGGCAGCCTCAGCGATGGGAGCATGATGGCTTATGGAGCTTAACTCCAATATTTATAGGCTAGAGAGGGGACCTAGCTAATAACAAAAGAGTCTGTGTCCACTGGGTCCACCCATCATGGAAAACCAGGGTCACACTAAAGCCTACACTGCTGCCCAACTAGGCCCAATAACAACAGATGCCAGAAGCTCAATTCAATGTGATCACAATGAGCTAGTTACAATAATAATATTGAAATATCCATTAACCCGATTAATTTTAAATACAAAACTAATTAATTAATATTGCCCATAAAATAAAATTCTAACAAATTAATCCTATCCCAATCCATGTTTGAAACTTTTTAGCGTCTATTTGATTGTGTTCTGGTTTTTTTTGTTCTTAAAACTGTTTTGTAAAATAGTTATGGAAACATTTGTTTTCTATATTTTTAAATTTTTGAAAGTTAAAAACTAAAATAGAAAACAAAAACAACTAAGACATGTTCTCTAAATTTGATTCTAAAAACAAAAAAATAGTTATAATTTTCAAAATATTTTTTTACAAAACAGATCTTACCAAACGAGTTTTTTTGTTCTGAAAACTAAAAAGCTGTTTTTAAAAACAACGAGCCTTAATTTCGTATCTCATCTTTATTCTTGTCTCTTTTTATCAAGACTTGTCCACACTTTTGATTAGTTGTTTTCATTTGTATGGTTGGTGGGTTGTTTTCTGCTGAGGTTTCTTTCCCATTAATAGTTCCTTTTTATTATTAGCTTTTCCGATGTCTTCAATTATCATATTTCTATCTTCTGATATGTTTTATAAAATAGAGCTTTCTATAATCACCCAGCGAAATTAGGACCAAGGGTTTAAGAGGCGAATTTATGTGATTAACCAAAAGAATACTATTTTTTTTTTCTCTCTAATCAAATATATTTTTAAAAACCTAGATTTCAAAGAAATAAAAGAATAGATTCCAAACTAGCACACGTAATGTAATTAAATCAAAACCTTAAGCTCCAAACTAGGATATCAACTTCAAATGTATAAGTCCACAATCACAAATGCATTAACAGTTAAAATATGGACTCTAACCATCTGATAAATGTTCAGTAAGAGCCCCTGGTTTGTTAAGTAATTAGCACAACACGAGCTAAATAAGATGGCCTAAATATCCACCACTACATGTACATGCATGTGGATATGCATCATACAGTATCCAAAACTACCTGCCAATGTTGTCCTGAATCCTAAGAACTCTCAGGGCCGTGCATGTGTGGTTAAGCTGTTCTTCTTAGCATGTCCCTCGGCTGTAGTAAAATAAGGGAAATTCAGCACTAGTCATGTACCTACTGATTCAACTATTTTCCTATCATTCATTTCAATCATATATCATATATGTATAACAAAAAGTTTGAACAGTCACCTTATGTAAATTTTTCAGTACATCAAAGCAACTAATATATGGGAATATTTACACAACAAATATATATTATTTCTCTATCCCCTGTATATATTACCTGTTTTGGATCAACAATAAATTCAACCTCTCATAGCCACCACTATCAACATCATAACATACAAGCCGCAAATTAAAGTTTAAAAGATAATATTTTAGAGATATGGGAAGGCTATGACTTATGATCTAGCTCATTAAAACCAGTACCGTATTTTTACTGTCTATTCTAGTAGGTCTTCACCAAAAGAAAATGATATCTTAGAAGCTATAAGGAATCAGTTGCAGAGGAGCCGCTAACCCATTTATCAACAACCGAATCTGGTGAAAACGGCGAAGGAACCTTGTTCAAGAGTATAACTTCATCTGTCCTAACATCAACTACTTCAGCTTCCCGTGCACCAAGCTCATCACTCTTGATTCCTCTCAAGATCTCCAGCACCTCATCCATGGAGGGTCTCATCTCTCTCTGCTGCTGCAAACACCTAAAAGCCAATTCTGCAACTCCTGTTGTCATCCGCCTTATAGCATAGTCTTTTTCAAATCCAAGATATGGATCAACCAACTCATGCAACTCTTGGCTCTGAATTTTACTGATGGCCATGTTAGCCAAGTTCACATCATTGCGATGCCGGTTGATGTCCACAGGTTGTAATGATGATATAAGCTCAACTAAGACTACTCCGAAGCTATAAACATCACTTTTATCTGTTAGTTGGTAGACTTGATAATACTCAGGGTCAACATAACCAGGAGTTCCTTGTGGAGCAGTTGACACATGCGTGACATCATTTGGGAACAACCGCGAGAGACCAAAATCAGCAACCTTCACGCGAAATTCATCATCTAGGAGAATGTTGTTGGATTTAACATCACGGTGTATGACATCTGATGCGTGCAGGTAGGCTAGTGCCTCAGCTGTTTCAACTGCAATGTTCAATCTTACATGCCACGGGACAAAATTGGATTGTGATCTTTTTCCTTGAAGATGATCAGCCACTGTTCCATTAGATATGAATTCATAAACAAGGAGAAGTTCTCGGCTATGTCTTGAGGTGCATCCAAAGAGTGTCACCAGGTTCTTATGCCGAAGGCGGGCTAGGATTTGAACTTCATTCATGAACTGCTCAACACGTTTAAAGTTGCTTTCATAATGGCGTTTCACGGCAACGACACGTCCATCTTGGAGTTCACCTGATTAAACAATCACAAGATATAGTTTATGAAAAACAGAAACCATGGGAAATTATGTAAGAGATTGGCAGAATACAGAGGAGAATTTTCTTGTTACCTTTGTAAACAGTGCCAAAACCTCCCTCACCAAGTTCATTAGAAGGGTGAAAATTTTTGGTAGCTTCCTCCAATTCTTCATAGGTAAACACCTGGACACCAAAGTAGAAACTCTTTGGTGGCACCGAGCCAGTCTTTGAAGAAGTGTAAGAAGAGACACTTTGAGACGTAACAGTTGTAGAGGTAACAGCGTCTCCGCTTACAGGAGGCACGAAGAAGTCCTTGCCACTTGATTGCTCCACAATTTTTTTCCTTCGTTGCCTCACAAAGTACAGACAGCCAAGAATGCCAACAACAAGGGCTGCAACTCCACCAGCAACGCCTGGCATAATATGCTAGACATTAGTAAAATTTTATTCCCAAATTCACTCTATCAATTAACAAAATGAAAGTTACCTATTCCAATAGCTACTTTGCTGCTACTGCTTTTACCTGCAACATTCCAAAAATATAAAAAAAAGGAAGATGTCAGAACAAGGAATGAGATAAGGATAGAAAAGAGATGAAGAAAAAGGTAGTTAGCAAGTCTCAGTTCCAGATATGAACAGGAAACTAATGCGCCTCATTTTCTTCCTTAACCGAATGGGTGAACTTGTCACTTTAACATAACTGCAAATTTAAGTCACTGAAGAAAGTGATAACTGATAACCAATATGAATCTCCTTAAAATGTACAAAATAAAAGTGGACCATTTAACAGGTCATCATCAGCTGCCAACTGGCAAAATACAAATGGAAGCTGGGAAGGTGGTTCGGGTTAAAATGAAAGCATCATTAGCATACAATAAGGTAGATGCAAGTCTATGGACCACAACAACCTCTTAACTTTTAGTCATAAACAAATAATCCTTAAAACCATTAGTTTTACATCATCACCAGAAAATTCCACAAGACACCATAATTAACCAAAAAAAAAAGGAATACCTGGAGGTGGACACAACCTGTTGCCACAAATACAAATAGTAGTATTGTAATCAGAATCAAACCCACACTGCTGGCCACCAGAGCCAAGACACTCAAAGCACTCAGTGTCATAAGGATTACTATAGTTAACACTAAAGCCCTTCATCAAAACCTCCGCAAGCAAAGAGCGGTTTTCTACAAGCCTATCAACCTGCTCTTCACGAATTGCCACCCCAACACGAACATCGCATTCAACAACACCAAGAACCGGGTCCAAAGGAAAAGGACCAACCAATGAATAAGAATCATTCTTATACCCATTACTCTCACAGTGAAACAAGTTAACTGGAGTTTTGGTAAATCCAGAAGTGGGTTTGCACCCATAAAACAAGCTAAGGTTCTGGTTCCCTGAACCATAGCTGAAGCTGATGTCATCAAAAGTTGAGTTAAGGTACTCATGTGTGCATGTCTCGTTCCAAAGGTCTAATCGTGCTAAAATGAGGTTGCGAGTCACTGAGTTTATTTGAAGGACTCGGTAACTCACCGACGAGATGTTCAACTCGGGAACACCATTGTGGCAGCTTAAGAGGAACTGTGGTGGCCCACAGAAAGAGGGGCGGTCACCGCCGGTGAAAGGGTAGGAAAGGTTTTTGACGTTGCCACAGTTGAAGGTGGTGTTGTGGCAACTAGAAAGTGATGCATGGAGGGGCAACGACGTCGTATGGTGGAGAGAGAAGGTGAAGATGGTGATGATGATGATGGTAAGGGAAGAGAGGGTCAACATAGTTTGTAGTTCATTCGTTTGGGTTTGTCTAGGTGGCGACCATAAAAGAGTTGTTGGCTTTCGTGCGAACTATGATTCTATGCATGTTTGAACGAACTGAACATAAAAGAAGAGGAAAAAAGAAAAACATGAAGATGAATTTTGTTGACTTGGACTTTGAAGACATGAGAAGAAGGAAAAAAATAATATAAATTGAAAGTTTTGAGTTTGGGCAGCCAAATGCGTTTTTTCTTATTAGTTTGTGGGAAATATTTTGTTGGGGATGGTCATGAGGTATATGTATATAAAATTGAGGGGATAATATTTTATGGTCAAAATAAAATACTCGTGAGGTTGAATGGATGTTGTTCAAATAATCTAGAACTATGGCTGCGAGTTACAATCTATGGAACACATGGTTTGAACGTTTTGGTGGGTTCAGAAGTAAGTGTGTCTGATTCTTTTACTAGAAAAGGCTGGGGGAAGTGGCAGAACATATTGAATAGCAATTGTTTATGTGTGGTAAGGAACTTGTTTCCCTACATTTATTTTGAATCCAAGTTCTAATAATAGAGAAAATGATATTGGGAGAATAAAATGTCGACATTTAAATATATATGTCATCAATTGTCAAGTTTAACTTTGTGGTCACTTAAATGATTTAGGGAAGGAGCTTCATGCAATTATTTTCTCCAGAAACTTAAGAGATATTAAAGGAAAGAGAAGAGAGCACACAGACAGAGGAAGAAAAACAAAGAGAGCACACACTTTATGACTATGATGCCTAAAGTGATGTTTGGAGGGGCATTAATCCTATACCCAATTTTTTTTTTTGTACAGATTAAGACTTGCAACTAAAATTTATTGACTTAAAAAATTTCATAGTAAAGCTTCATAAATATTATCTCATGTTTATGTCTGAAATTGTTTTGCTCAGTTGAACTCCTTTTTGCTGACTGTATGAAAAATATTTAGCTTTGAAATTCTCTAACTCCATGACCAACTAGGAGGTGACATCTTGTCGCATTTTGTAATTTCGGGTTGGAACCTAAAAAGTGATGACTCCCCTGCCTTACAGTAAAGGTTACCTACTCTACTTCTTCAAGGTACTTTAATATAGTAAATTTCGCACTAGCAAGCGGAAATACAGATCCAATGTCAGGAAGGAGGAATTATTTGTAGATATTTGATAAAGAACTGCCAAATTCTGAAAATTGGTTTCTGTTTAGTAGTGGGGTATAGGGCCTAAATGTAACTACAGGTAGATAATTTCCCTAGATTTGGATTTAAAATGATAAAGAAAATTTTTTAAGCAGAGTATTGATGAGTTTTCTAGATGGAAACATATTACTGCACACACGAAAGATATAATAGAGTTACTGGACCCCATAAAAAGGGAGGAATAAATCTAATTGCAGTCAAAGAAGGCAACCCATATTTTAAAGGGAAAAGGAAATATCATTTTAAATGAGATAGGTTATATTTTGTGTAAATCTGAAAAGTTCTTTTTTTTTTTCTCTTTTCCCAGTCACATCGCTGACGTGTAAAGTAAAAAAAAAAAAAAATTAGATTTACACAAAATATCATCAGTCATACTTTATGTAAGTCATTAAAGGACACAACTCATATCTTTTTAAATAACAGACACTTGACCGTTGACCCTATTTTAAAAGGAAGATCAACATGTGGAGTCTGAACAACTACTTAAAGCTACTTATTTCTACCAACATCTACCGTTCTATCTGCAACATTTTCCACAGAAGTCGACTACCAGAAAACTGAGGCTTCTTTGTCTCTACAGGTAGGCAATTCATGGCAAGGAAATGATCCATGAAAACTGAAGATGTTAATAAATCTAGGTTGCTATATAGACCAAAGCAGCAATGGATTCCTAAAACTCTTAACAGGAACAAAACCAGAATACACTACAGGTACTCACCTGATCTGCATGAAGATGGAAAAGATCCATCCCTGCAATAGCAAGCGAATTCCCCTGAGCTAGGGCTATAACCACAGTTCCCCCCAGAGTTTTGGCATTCATCACACAAAGAATTGTTTGCATTCCACTCCACGCCAAAACCGTTATCAAGAGCAACCTTCAGATTTTCCACTGTTGAATTTGTCTCTATCACTTTAGCTTCTGACTCCAAAATTGGAACAATGACTCTAGATTTACATGCTCCCATTATTTCACTTAATGAGACAGAAGTGTCAGCATTTTCAAGGATGCTCTCCATCACAAAATAGTTAAACATTTGAGTTCCATTGATGCTGCAATTAAACTGAGGGGAAAAGCTCTGTGGTACAGAAAATGGAGGGGAAGGACAACCATAGTAGAGGCTCAAGTTCCTAGAATCCGAACCAATATCGAAGAAAGTGCATCCTATAGTTGTGTTCCTGAGGTTAGAGGGACAAGTATTATTCCAATAGTCAGTTCTTACAACTTTGAGTCTATAACTAGAGTCACTGACTTCAAGAACTCTGTAACTCTCTGACATAATGGTAACCCTTGCTACTTCCCCCGTGCATTCTAGCTTAAACGCTGGGTGGCCACAGTATTGGGGTCTACTAGATCCCCAGAAAGGATAGCTCAGGTTTTGGAGATTTGCACAATCAAATGAAGAACTGCATTTTAGATACTGCGCATCATCAGCACAAAACGATGTTGGGATTTGATTTAGGATGATGGTTATGATTAAGAATGAGAAAAAGATGCCTAGGTGAAGAAGTTGCATCTTCAGAAAAAAATAGCTTGGTGGGGAGACAGAATATTTGATACTGAAATAAATAAATGGAAGAGGGAAATGCCAAATGCCACTGGCTTCTTATTGGTGTTCTTGGTGAGTTTTCAAGTGCACCAGTACTTTTGATGCAAATTAAATGAAGATTTTAGGTGACCTATTAATCATTCAACAGTGCACCAAATATCTCATATTTTATGTTGGAATTAGTATTACCTAATCCTGATAAACATTAAAGAAATTCAAGGGTTGTTCCTCGGAGTCAAACAGTTCAGGCTGCTGGTGACCAAACTTCATGCCTAACCATTCATTCAAGCTTACTCATGACTCATGAACACATCAAAAGTTAAGAGAGGCGTGACACGTTTTAACCAATAATAAAACTAATTAAAATATTTGAGACCCAGTTTCCGTTCTACGTATTGTGCCAAAAATCAGGCTGCATATATAATCCAATTCAAAGACTGAATAAACTTTGGACCCATTAAAGATGTGAAAACATCAGGATGAGAGGATGAGGCGTGTGCATGACTTCAGCATGAGAATGAACCAAACCAAATGGTTTGGTCAAAACTATATATGAAATGGTCAACAGAAGAACTTGTCCGGAGGCTGAATTCTTCAGCGCATCCCAAAAAAGTCAAACGTTATCAGGAATTTCGTTCTGTTGCAAGCAAGCAATTGCTGACCCGGTCTTCTTCAGGCGCAAAGATGTTGGGGGGAAAGAATCATTAACAGTTAATAGGCAGGGTTGAGGCATGTTAACCCTATCGACATGCATGTGATTAACTACAAACTCCTAAACAATCCATCAAGACAATTCAGAGATCAGATATTCGACCTTCTTCTCTTGCCTTGTTAGCAAAACAGGTGTTGTTATAATTATATATAATACGGCTTCTAATTCAATCACAAAGAAGCCATGTTTAGTAGAGTTTACTACCAATAAAAAAAACAAGGACTCAGAGAAATCAACAACCATGAGTGCATATATTATATATACCTGAGTCTCTACACGAATTTGTTCCATCCTTGCAAAAACACTTGAATAATCCTCCATCATAACCACACTCCCCTTGAGAACGCGAGCATGTGCTGCACTCATTATTATTATCGATCCATTGCAACGCGAAACCTGCATTTAATACGTCCTGATTTGTATTGAGGTTTGTAGATAGAGCTTGCACCTGTTCTTTAAACATGGGAACAGTAGTGCTGCTGCAAACTCCCAAGTACGCAAACTGTGGAGCGTAGTAGAGAAAATCGTTATTGCAGGTTCGAACCATATACGAATTTGTTGGAACAACATTACCGCAATCATATAACAGCGACACGTTAACAACCCCATCAGCATATTTAAACAAAGAGGGATCAAAGGTACTGTTGTTCTTGTAGTCATCTGAACAAGATGGATCACTAGTCGAAAAAACGTCCCTGGCGAGTGTGAGATTCCGTGTGGTCGAGTCCAAAGCAACAATCCTGTATGTGACAGAACTGATGTTGATCTTGGGGACATTGTTGTCGCATGTGAGCTCAAAGTGAGGATCACCACAATACTGTGGTCTCTCTCCTCCCCAGAAAGGGTACCCGAGGTTGAGGTTTGCAGGGATAGTGTTTCCGCAGCTAAAAGTTTTAGTACTGCAATCTGAATAGTACTGGCTATCACCATCCGCATGAAGTGATGTTGGAATATTGAGTGATATGATGAAAGTGAGAAAGAATATGAAAATGGAAGATGGGTGAAGAAGAGGTTTCATTCTTGCACCGTAAGAAAGAAGAAAAAAGAAACAAGTGTAGGAGAAGTGATGAGAAGAACAGGGTGGGTACAAGGTGGAACCGAGAGGACTAAGGAAGATAAATACTAAATATGAATAAATTGCGCGTAGATGATTATATTGGGAATTGAGTTATAATCAAATACTAGTTTCACTTTCAAAGCATGCAAATTTTCCACAGTTTCGTGTTTCCTAGGAAAACCTGAGAGAAACGGCAATATAGCATTGATTAAATGAGCTTAGCTTAGTCGTATATATAATGTTTAATACACATCAGCTAGCTAGTATTCTAGATTTTCAATTTGTCTAATTTCAACGTTCCAAAATTATGCTTCCAGAAGAATGGTCCATTGTTGACCACCTTTAGTCTCTTAATAAACTTCATTATCTTTCTTTACATTTTTAAATCTTAATGCAAATTCTATAGCAGACACCAATATTTATATATTTTAAATCACTTAAAGTTTTGGTGCTTTATATTTTATGTATCAACAAAATATTTTGTTTGATGCCTAATTAAAAGACAAGTTGGAGAAGCTAGAGTAGAAAGGGTCAATGTGCTAGCGGCTTAATGAAATAAAAAAATCTAATTCCTAAACTTTTTTTGTTCACTCTTATTCTATACCTTTTTTTAAGGGAAAAACAAATAAAAAAAGGAGTTCTCTCTTTCTTTCTTCTTTATAAAATAAATATGTAGAATGGAAATATTAAAAAAAAAAAAATGTAAAAATAACATTGATCAAATAGGAATTGTGAGGATGGCCATTCGGCGAGTATGAAAAGAAAATCTTCCGCTTGCATACACGTGGAATAAAAAAATAATTAACAATTGCACCCACACAATGCGTGCTGAGCAGCGATGACACTTTATTTGACCATCCCCGGATATTCCCATGATCCGCACAGGGAAAGAGACCAATACTCGTATGAAACTAATCCCAGATCGAATGCTATGATAATTATCCAACTTTGATTGCAAAAATACTCTATAGAATTAGAACCTGTCCTATCTTGGAAGTTCATTCATTTTTGGAATTCATATTGTCATTTGAGCCGACTCTTACGATTATTTTTCAATTCTATAGACTAAAGTCTAAATCTAAAACTCCAGCTAAATAATATAAAAAATATTCAAATAATGATTTAAATTCATAATATGAAAGAAGGCTAGTTTTTCCCGACAAAGGTGATCACAGTTGGCTAAGGGTTTGGTCCATACCCCTCAAGGGCGTGGGTTCAAACCCCGCTGGCCGATGTGAGGACTTTGTTGGTGGGTGATATGTAATTCCTTCCAGAAATCCTCAAAGATGTTGGGGGGTCTTCCCTGACCCTAGTGGGATACCGGTGTCTAACCCCACTTAAACTTTCTTCTTGTACAAAAAAATAAAATAAAAGAAGGCTAGTTTACATTCAAGCCTAGATAACGACTTTCTAATGCATATATCTATTCCAAAAATGACCAAAAAAAAAAATAAGAAGATAAAAATCTGAATCCATAGTTAGCATAGCTTTTTACCAAAAAGTTGAAGCTACTTGGATGTAAAAGGATGATGTTTGAAAGAGAATTTTAACTTTAATTAGTTATTTAAAAAAGAAAAGACTAAGCCTAACTATTTAGGCTTTTTTCATACAATTTGAGACTTCGCAAGTATCATAATTAGTCAACATGACTTTCAGTCACAAATGACATGAATTTTCAATTTCATCATCATAAATTAATGAAACTTCCAAATTTTGAGGAAATATGTCATAGTGGTAGATAATTTATTTCTGAAGTCTGGGAGAAAAATGAGGCTTTACATTAGAATTACTGAATGCCTTCATCAGTCACAACTGTTCAATGTTGCGTCGGCAAGTGTGAAAAACAATTATTTTCTATTCCATCTCTTTCGTCCCTATTTTGCCTCAACTTTCATTTCATTTTCTCTAAAATTTCTAAACATAGCCTTTTATTCTACTCTTCACACTAAAGGCCTCCAGATGTCGTGTGGAACAAGAAACCAAAATATCTTTAGTTTCAAAGCTACCAAGGGCCAAATGAAAGGAATAACATTAATGTATACTTTGAATTAGCCACGCAACAAAGAACCGTAGTTGGGAGGGGTTCGGATTACAGTCAAACTCAACCACTGGAACACGTGGTTTTGTCAGTCAAAAAGAAGAAGCAGAGACATAAGGAAGAATTAGGAGGACCAAGTAAATTAAAATGTAAACACACCACCAAAAAAAAAATAAAAAAATTAAAATTAAAATGGAAGCAAATTAAATGAAATGTTCACTTTAGATGAGCACAAAACTTGGTCCTCATAAACTCAAACTGTCCCATACAGAAAATGCAGTTGGCAATGATCTTAGAAATACCTGAATGTGGAGGTACTTTGGCACCTGGTAAGTAATTAGAACAAGATTGATCTTTGCAGTAGTAGCAGATTGGTTGCTTTGAAACCATGTCATAACCACAAACTCCACCTGATTTTTTACATTTTTCACATTCTTCAATACCTGCTATCCATCTCACTAGAAATCCATCCTTGATTGCCCCTTGTATTTTGATGAAATCCTTAATATCAATCGAAAACACACAAACTGGAACAACCACACTTTGTTTGCAAAATACAGGAGGACCTAGAGACCCGAACTGAGTATAAGCACCTTCATCAAGAGAGACACAAGGAAGAAATCCAGTGGGGGAGCGGAAAGCACTTGAAGCAGCACAACCATAGAAGAGGGTAATGTTCTGGTAGTCTGACCCATAAACAAAGAGCTCAGTGTCAAGGGTGGTGTTGACAAGTTTTGATGGGCAAAAGTTTTGCAAGTAGTCCACTCTGGTAATTTTCAAAGTATGTTCATCCGGGTTGGCCTCCAAAACCTGGTACTTGACATCTTTGATGGTTATGTAGCTTATGTTTTTAAGACAGGTCAGTTGCAACAGAGGGTGGCCACACTCCTTTGGACGGTTGTCTCCCCAGAAGGGAAAACCAATGTTTGTTATATCCCCACAAGTTAACAGATTAGCACAGCCTCTATAATAATCGTAGGAGCTTAAAAAAGGAGGTATCTGAATCAGTATCAAGAGGATTATCTGAATAAGCAGGTAAGCCATTCAGAGAGCGCAAAGAAAATGTCTGCAACAATGTTAACCTTGGGAAACGCTTGAAAGAGAGAAACACAGTATGTGACTCAAATCTAGTACAAAATTTGTAATGTAGAAAATCCATTCAAAGAAAGTGACAGTAATAGTGACTTGTAGAAAATTTTGGATTGTTAAATTGACTTATGCAGCGTATACAAATCATAATAACTTCAATTAGTTTTCTTCGATACTTCAGTTTTTTATTATGACATGCCCTTATGAGTCTGCTTGCTCACTTGAAACGAAATTTGTCCAGGTCAACCAATTAAGTCCTAAGTTATTTGTTCTGTTACTCTTGCCCAATTTCCCTCGTTAGGACCTAAATTTCCTAGTTACTCCTGCAAAAGAAAAATAATCTAGCTTTGGTCTATAGTCTGAGTGCGTGTTTGAATTAACTTATTTTAAACAATATAATTTTTTCATAACTTCTTTTTTATAGAAAAAAAAAAAAACAATTGTTTTCTTAAGAAATAAGCTAAAAGAAACCTGCTTTGATGGATTAAATGTTCTCCTGAATGAATACCAAAAAAAAAAAAAAACGAAAATAAGCTAAAAATGGTTGACACTGCATATTTTTACATTTTAGTGTTTAAATTAATATATTTAATTTAAAAAAAAAATTATGATGAAATGTTCAAAAGAAATATTTTAGTTGCAAATCTTTTTCAAGTATAAAAACCGAAATATAATATTGTATTTTATCCCATTTTCATCCCAAAATAATGATAATTCATTGAATTATCAATAAAAGGTTTGTGGGCTCCTGCCCTTCAAACTAACAAAATAAAAAATAAAAAATAAGAAGAGATAACAAAGAAAAAAGATTATTATTATTATTATGACAAATTTTAGTTGTCTCCACTCTCCCGTATAAATTAATCATGGTCAGGATTTCTTCAAGCTATTTAAAAGTCCTTTCATCCATCTCAAGATTTCTTACTCAGTAAATAGGGATGGCTTGATCACACCAAGATTTACTCCCAAATCATTGCCATTGTGCTCCAACCATTAATACCATGGCACCTGTAACATAAGACGAACGTATGATGATCAATCAAGCGAATAGAATAGCTCTCTCAATTAAAAATATAGATCACTTACCTACCTTACTTAAGGGGTACACTTTCTCTTTCCAAGCAGGCATGTTTTGAATACAGTAGAAACAAATTTGACATTGTCTTGCAGTTCCTGCTATTCAAAAATTAATCACTAACGACAAAAAAGAGAGAGAGAGCTTTCACAAGAATAGAGCAAACAAATAATGCTTGAAGGGCAACAATACTACAGGAAATACTAGGAACATAAAAGAAATAACAAAACAGGTAATAATAATTTATTATTTAACATGTCAAATCCAAAATTATTGGGAAATCCATACTATTAAAATTAGTATATAATACAAGAGGTATACATGAACATAGTCATTAAAATCAATCACCTCTCATTTCAACAAGATTTAAGCGTAAAGATTAAAGAACTACAAAACAACCAATACACCGTGAAGCAAAACTTTTGGCAATTTAAGTTATAGAACAAGTAAAAACTTCAGATTCTCTCAATGATGTAAGTCAAACCTCCTGCAACGTTTACTTAAAGGGATTTTGCATAAACAACATGAAATTAATATTCTACATATGCAATGTTTCATCGTGTACACGATATTCAATTGTTTTCCCACGCATGTCAGCCTCAAGGTGACACTTAAAGATATTAGCATCAAATGTCAACGAAGTCTTTTTTTCCCTTTTTCTTTTGCCAAGATGATAATTGCTTGTCATCCTTTAAGGATGAATTAGTGGATAGAAGTCAAATGGTTGAGACTTGAGATTCCACTTTGCCAATGGGACAGAACCCATATCATGCTTTCTTAAGTTTCTGTCCCAGTCACTCTACAAAGAGTGATGATTATGGTCCTGATAAGGACAAGGAGCATTAGTGTACTTACAACAAATATGGAATGTCAAACGGTCCATATTGGTTGCATTGCACCTTGAATGTCCTGTCATCTATGAACATTTCACCAACCAGATAATGACTGTCCTCTGCTTCTGCCCATGCCAAACCTGCAAGTCAATGCTGGAAATGCTAGAAAGCCCCAGCATTGGAGTTAGCATTCCTCAGACATCTGAGACTGAAGGCTTAAACTACTCATGTGGTCTATCAGATTATCCATTATCAAAAGAATGTCAGGCATTTTGCTGTGTGACTTATCTTGTGCCTCAAATCTATGGACTTTGCTTTTGATTTCAATCCAACTACAACCAGGATTCGGTTTTAGACCTTTGTCTTTCATTAATTTTCGCACTCGTGCTACCTGATTCCACCAACCTACACTTGCATACAGATTCGCCAGCTGTTGAAGTGTTGCAGAGCACCCTGGTTCCAACAATAACCTACTCTCTGCAGCCTGGATGCCAATCCAAACACTTCCATGAAGCCTAGAGGAAGAGAGTAGTGAACCCCATATTACAGCGTTAGGATGAACAGGTATATTTTGGATGAAATCACGAGCCTCCAGAAGCAAACCAGCCCGACCAAGAAGATCTACAATGCAAGAATAATGGTCTAGTCCTGGCTGCACACCATGCTCAACCATGGAATTGAAGTAAACTTGACCTTCTTTGACAAGACCTCCATGCCGACATGAGGACAAGACACTAAGGTAAGTAACAGCATCGGGATTAACACTTTGCCTTATCATCTCTTCAAAGAGATTAATTGCCTCTCGTGCAAGCCCATGCTGCGCAAACCCAGAAATCATGGAGTTCCATGTTACAACATCCCTGCCCACCATATTTTCAAATATGTACAGGGCATCATCAATTACCCCGCATTTGGAATACATAGCAATGAGAGCATTATCAATGTGGAGGTATGAATGAAATCCCATTTGAATTATTTGACAATGAGCACCTCTCCCATGCCCAAGTGCTCCACTGCCCATACAAGCACTCAGAAGACTTGTGTATGTAAAATTATTTGGTTTCAATGTTGAACCCCTCATCTGATGGAAGAGCTCCAAACATATATCAACACGCCACTCTTGCGCAAACCCAGCAATAATTGCCGTCCATGAAACTACATTTCTCTCACGCATTTCACCAAACACTCGGTACGCATCACCCAACAAGGCACACCTACTGTACAAGCTAATCAAAGAACTTCCAACATAAACATTGGCAGTGAACCCAGTTGTTATTGCTAAGCAGTGATATTGAATACCTCCCCAAAGGTCTCGGTTGGACCCACATGAACTCACAACATGAGACAAGAAGCACACATCAACTCCCAACCCTTGTTCCATCTGAAGAACAGAGGACTGAATAGTAATTTCAGTTGTAGTCCTCAAAGTAGCTGAATTGCCACCAAGAGGGTTGGTTGCATTGTTTTCCAAAATGTCCTCAATGAGCCTAAGATGACTTCGACGATTCTCAATATCAGTACCACTTTTTTTGGGGGATACAAGGTTAAGGACTCTTAGTGCATTAGTTAACCCTTTGTTTGCTCTTCTGGGTACCAATTTGTGGGAAGAGAAAGGCCTAAAGATTTGGTTTTTAAGACAAGAAGTTGGGTTCCTTATGAGGAGTGCATTCATTGCTTGAATCCTTGGAGGGAACAGTGCTGTGAGCATTCTAATGGGATCCAAACCTCATGCCAGTGAAACATGAAAGAGACACATATTGAGAAAAACATAGTAACAGACATTAAATTCAGAAAATTATTGCCATTCATTAACCTTACAAATTTCTTGTTGGAGGACTGAATATATGCGCAGCCAGACAGGACTAACATCGTGTTTTCATGGGCCATTTCAGACTTTCAAAGAATTTTAAATAAAAAAAAGTTTGAATTGAACCAATCGGATTTTCTTCATTTCCCAAATGTTTTTTAATTTTAAAAAAGAGAAAAAGTGTGTATTTCTAAAAGGATTGTATTTTCTTATGCAATAGGAGATAAAATATCTCATGTCACACTTGCAAACTTATGTAGGTCTCACTGTACAGGGAAAGAAAAAAAAAATTGAAATGGGCTCCACACCTTTTTGAGTGTGTAAGAAAAATTTGTTATCTCTTATCAATGAGGTTAATATTTCCCATTTCTAAAAGACACAAATTTATATTCTTTTAAGAGCGAGACAAAGAAAAAGAGTTATGGGTTCCACTGAAAAAAATAAAAACAAAAATAAATAAATAAAGATATAGATTTCACTTCTTTGTATTTAACTCTCTTAAAAAAAATTAAATTTATGTAATGAACACTTTTCCCTTTTAAAGAATTATGAACTTTTTAGTTGGTAGGCGAATAGTTTTTTTTTTTACGCAAACTTTATAACAAAATTAGGTGTCCCAAGTGTGAAATTTGATTTGCAAATTAGTTTATATTTTATTTTTTTCAACTACAATTTATTTTCCATTTTAAAGAAATTATTTTATTTATCGTTTTGGAAAAATAATTACTTTAAAAATATTTAATAAATAAAATGATAGAGCATTAACTGAAATTAAGAAAAAAATTAAAAAGACGTACAATGGCCATAAAAAGAAAGGTAAAGAGAAATGACTCAGATTTTTATTTTTTTAAGAATAAAAATTTTGTTGGGGTTAGAGAACACTAATAAGATCCGACCATGATGTTCTCATATCAGCAAGCGAAATTCAAATTCACACTCTTATGTATGAATTTAATCCTTAACCAACTACACCCACCTTGTTGACAATAGAACATTAATTTACTATCATACAAAGAAAAGAGACAAGAAATCAATAACATGGCAATGCCCACTAAGAGTGAAATTGGTTACAAGGATTGTGCAATGCCCACTATTAATTTGTCCAAGATGCCATTGTGATGATGCAATTGCTAAACATATACCTGCGATTAGAGACTGTGTTTTGGTGAAGAATCTATGCTTAAATTAGTCTGAGGATTGAGGGTTGATTATGTTTTGAATATGCAACCGTGTGGCCAAACTCGTTAAAAGTGTAGATCAGTATAATAAGGATGAAAATCTGATGGCAAATTCTAGGTCCCTAGAATCCAATAGCTCAATTGTTGAATCATGTGGTTTATGGATTCCCCTTAAACCAGGTTGTTATAAACTAAATTCTGATGCATCAGTTTTGTTATAAACTTGAGAGTGTGGTAATTAGAAATTCAGAAGGGAATATTTTAACTGACGCATCATTCCATAAATTACAGGAGAAAGTTGATGTCATCTTGACTAAGTGCTTAATAGCTATGTATCAGAATCTCCCATTAACTAAGGATTTATGTTGCTTTAATTTGTTGGCTGAAACCAATCTTCAACGTTAATACCAAACCTATATCACTATGATGTGAAACATTGTACCCTTTCAAAAAAAGAAGAAGAAAGAAGAAGTTAGTACTATATTGGTGTTAACTCTTAGGCAAATACATAATTCTCATGTTAAGAGTTGGAAGTAGGATAGCTCGTTTTTTAGCTTCTATGTCTCTCACTTTCTTGATATTAAGTCATTAAGACTGGGCAAGTGATGAAAGATTTGAACAGTTTATTAAACATGAAGGGACTAATGCACAATATACAATTTTAAAGAAACCGGACATGACTCCTAGACTTTTTAGTTTTATCCAAAACTAGTGGCTATCTTTTCTTTTCTTTACATTGGAGAGGTACCGAAAAGACAAAAAATTTAGTGACACATTCAAACAAAAGGGAATAAGATGAGGGTCCCTTCGCCCAAGATTCATTGAGCCCAACAATGTTACACATTTAACTTGCAACATATAATGCATGGTCAAACCGGCAAGAGAACAAAAATCATTGACAACAAATGCTTCCAACTTATAAGTCATTGACAAGGCCATGTATCTTTCTTTCCAATACTTCTGAACAAATCTGCCCCATGTTGTGGTAAAAAGACAAAAGCTCAGACAACTGTTCCACCGACATTTTCCCCATCACATTTCTTGCCATTTTTTCTCTTTCCTCATTCATTTTCAGTCTCTCTAAGTATGACCCAGCATTTCTAACAGTTGCACCCATTTGCTTTAACCTATTTTCTTGCTGCACAGTCAAGGCTGTGTTTGACTGCAATTTGAAACAAAAAATTATATTAGTACATTAAAACTCTCATGTTCCTATGATCAAACACCAAATAAAATAAACAAATGAGGAAAACTTTCAAAATGGTTGTGAGTTGTAGTACCTCAAGAAATTCTGCCCCGGCTTCCAATTCAGACTCTTTGGTTGAACTCATCCCACGGCCAGCGTTGTAGAGGTTTTTTGCAAGTGAGAAACTACGAACTATAATCTTCCTTTTGTTCTCCATTTCCTGGTTAAGCTTCGGAGGCTTTTGGACAGATGTTAAGCAATTCAGCTTCTTCTGATAAGCAATAACAGCCTTCACAAATTCCTGCAGAGTTTCCATGAAATTTCAAATGTTAAACTCAACGATTCAATGTACTCTAACTAATCATAAAAAATTAGTTGATCTTAAAAGTTCAAACCTTATAAGCAAAGGGGCATCCCGGGTAATCAAATTCCTCTGAATCAGGCTTCCTCATACGCTCAGGGTGAAACTGCAATCCCATAATAAACTTACCCTCTTCTGGATTATAAGCATCTGGATCATAAAACCCTTCAATCAAACCATCAGGGCCAAAAGCCATTGGGACAAAACGTTGTGCCAATCTCTTAACACCTTGATGGTGATAACTATTAACCAAAATATCGATTTTCCCTTCTTCCAAAGAATCCTTAAACCAATGATGCAATGGGGTGTTTTCAACCACTTTTACCTCGTGCCTATGACCATCATAATCATCATAGTTTATATGCATCACCCTTTGATTCTCAGGGCACTTGTTTGAAAGCTCTTTCCCTATATCCTGATATAGAGTACCCCCACATGCAACATTTAGAACCTGTGATCCCCTGCAGATTCCCATGTAGGGAATGTTCCTTTCAAGACAAAGCTTGGCAAGGCTCAATTCAATTGAATCTTTCTCTGTATCAATGGCTGTATCACTAGCATGAAGCCTCCTTATTTCTTCCAACTCCTCTTGAGAAAGACCAGAGGTATCTTGTTCATACAAAGAAGGATCAATGTCTTCTCCTTCACATAGAAGAACACCATGGATTGGTTCAAAGCTATCCAGTAACATATGAACCCCAGAAACACGAGGAACAATGACGGGTACTGCGCCATACCCTACTATAAGATCAAGGTGATATTCACCTGAAAATCACATAATAACAGGTTTTATCAAAAAGGGTCACTGTTTCACACACACATACATATATATATATATATATTTGCAATGTTGCACTGCTAGATATATAGAAAAACTTAATTTTGATTGAAAAGCGTTGAAGGAAATGAAACTTACCAACGAAATCAACAAACTTGTTCTTGCGAACGCTTCGTCTAGATACAATTAGAACACGAGGGAGAATGACAGAGAGATCGGAAGACATTGTTAATAATCGCGTTATCGCTGTATCAAGATTTGTTGCCGAAGAAAAACTAATGATTATGAAGAACTAAACGTATATCGTGTGTGTATATATATATATATATATTCAAATGAGGCTTTATTCTATAAGGATAGAGATGAAATGAAACTCACCGTTTTGTGAGTAACAACTAGTGGATATTATAGAGGATATATACACAAGAGAGACAACGTTGGAGTCGCAGAGTGACAGAAAATCAAGGAAACATTGCCGTGGCTCCGCGTATGTTGTGTTACACAGTTTTCACGGGTTTCAATTTTCTTTTCTTTTTTTAAAAAAGTTTCAAAGGGTTTACTCATTAGCAATTGGATATGATTTTTTTTTTCAAAATTTTATTTTTGTTGCTTGTTGACTTAAACTGCATTGAGGAGGTTTCCTGTTGTACGGCCTTAATTTTAGTCATAGTTAACCGGTTGCACATGGCTGTGCTGGCTATTAGTTAATTGGGTTTTATTTGTTATAGAAATTTCTTATCCATATATTGTCATCATTAGATTCATTACTCAATACATTGATCTTGTGTATGTATTTATAATGTAAAATAATATATCACATTTTCTGAATGATACATCCTATATATCATTATATATTATGGGAAAAAAGTATCTGATCCAGATATAATATAGGCCTAACCAGGGCCCAATAAACACATGAAAGCCCAAGCCCATATAGGACCCAGAATAAAGGCATAAAGGGCAGGCACAGACGCGATAACCCTGACGCGGTACACCAGCGCGATAACCCTATCGCGGCACACCAGCACGATGACCCTATCACGTCTTACACGGCACAATACCTCCTCACGACATGCAGTATGTACTTGTTCCCCACGCAACAGGATACCTTCTACAGATAGTAAACTTAAGGGTCAAGGCAACACCACCACGCCCTCACACCAGTAAACTACGGACAGCTCCAGTTCGCTATGACTCTACTACTAGACATCATGGCGGCAAGCTCCTCAACATTTAAACACTGACAGCCACACTACGTTGGTACCAAGGAACCTTTGCCTTCACCATGAAGAAATGCATCCTACAAGCATACATCTCGACTACTATATAAACATACGTTGTACCACCAAGGTACTATCATCCTTTACTTTCACAATATAAACATTTGCCTCTGATACTGACTTAAGCATCGTAGTGTCTTCGCAGGTACCCAATCTGGAGCAACGTGAAGGACAAAGGACAAAGAGCTCAGGCTCATCCCCCAACAGCAATACCATGCCTAGGCCAGTAACCTCCTAATGAGTCTCAACCGTGTGTGATTTGGGCTTAATACGCATTGGGCCATCCCAACCGTATCTGATCCGATCAGTATCTAATGTTACTTTAGACAATTTTGTCTAATGTTCACTGAAACGACGTCGTTTTGAGATTGAAAAATTAAAAAATTAGAATGATAAAGACTATTATAACCCTGAAATAAATTAAAATTACAAATACACTATGATTTTTACCCCAAAATGACGTCGTTTCGACGAACATTAGATAAAGTTGTCTAAAGTAATTTTAGAAAAATAAACCCATATATTATATTGATATATTATTTCTTTAGCAGAAATAAGTTAATTGCAAAGGAGTTTAGACTATTTCAGAGCTAATGAATGTCATAATAAGTTTTAATAGAAACTTACAATGATACAAAACATTCACAGTTTAGAAGAATTTGAAGGGCCGTTTGGTACACGGCATTTGGTAGGATTTTCGGGAAACTGAATTTTTCTAAATTTTAAATTTCTGGATATTATCGTAAACTGAATGTAAAAATCATATTTTTGAAAATCAAAATTTCCGGCTAAATAAAAATTTCTCCTCTACCAAACGCTCTCTAAATGTAAAATTTAAAAGCAAAATATTTCCATTTTTATCCATTTGTCACAAAAAAGAGAGTACTGAATAGAGTAAAGGGTAGATCATAGATGCAAATGCAAGACACTTGCTTAGTCATTACTTTACTATAATAAAACAGGAACGTGGATCAATCGTTGTGGATTGGGATTAGGATTGAAATTGGTATATATAGAATGTGATTATGGAGATAGATGAGTATCTGTTTGGTGTAGCACTTATCCACTTTTACTAGATTCGAATAAATTGGCCTTTTTTAAGTCTTTGTTTTATTTTTTGCCATTTGAACCATGTTTTCTCAACAGCATAACCATATTGACCATTTCACAATTAAGAGTAGGATAACATAATGTTGCCAAATTAGAAATGCAAATAGAATATTATACCTCGTGCTTCGTCACTGCCTACGCAATATCTTCATCCAATTAGTAATTAATTCCATATAAAAGTTTCTAATCAAAGATTGATCAGTTATTGATGATAATATCTGATAATTATTAGCTGGCCCTGGAAAATAAAAAATAAATACAAAGAGAGAGAGAGAGAGAGAGAAATTAATTGCTATGATTTACACAATGAAGAGCAATTCTTAATCTAATGGGTAAGCCATACTTATTGTGATTAAACAACTAATCAAGACACAGATTATTGTTGAAGTTTGAATATTTTCTTCGGTGATTAAAACAAAAAGTATCCATTACAAAATTAGGGTCATGTAAAATGCGTCGGTGAAAGATTAACTAACAGTTTTGAGTCTAGACTTTTTATGAAATGTAAGATAGTAACAAGATTATATGTTTCTTATGTAACACATAAAAAAATGAGTAAAATCTACTAAGAAGAAGAGAGAAAAAGCCAAAAAAAAAAAAAAAAAGAGTTTCATTTGTTTTTTACGTGTTGCATGATGCAATATGTTTTATTCACTTTTTTTATATTGAATGAGACAATAAAAAATATATTTCTCGATCATGTAATTTGGTTTTTATAGAGAGCATGTTATTTCTCTACTCCAATGAAGGGAAAATCAGTTCTTGCTGTAACTGCAGCTTAATTTAAAGGAAATTTTTTTTAATGAGAAATTGCTAAACTCTTCAATGGTCTGAAATAGATAGAGTCCTGATGTATTCAAAAAAAAAGAAGAAATAGATAGAGTCCTGACTCCTGAGTCAACTCATTGCGTAACTGTTAAAAATTGAAAATCGAAACTTAGAAAGTAGGGATGTTTATCACCCGATTCAAACCGCGGTAATCGAATCGAAAAATTGAAAATCGAATAAATCAAAAATCAAAAACAAATTTTTTTTTGCAAATTTTAATTAAATTGGATCGATTTTTGAATTGGTAGATGAAAACCGATCCAATATGTTAATTTTCTTCTATCTACTTGGGTCTTTCCTCAATTATAGCCAAAAAATTTCTAAACCCAAGATCTATTAACCTATCAATTAAATTCAAGAAAAATTTAGTCACATCTCATCAACAAAATTTTATCTATGTAGAGTTTCATATCTCATTGTCCAAAAAAAAACTATATTATTGCTTATTAATGCTTTTGTATTTAAGTAAAAATAAAATTACAAAGTAAACATATACATAAGATATTATTTGCATAATAATCATGAAACAAATTTTAAAATTTTCAAAAAACTGAAAACTGATCCAATTCAAATTGAAAAAAATTAAATTGGATCAGATCAAATTTAAAAAAAATTCAAACCGAATGAATGATTACATGATCAGACTGAAGAAATTGAATCAAGATAATTTTTAGTTTTAAAACTAATCCAATCTATATTGCAAACACCGTCGTTTGACCCAACTCTTGTTTTTTCATTCAATAAAATACTATTTGGGGTGGTCACTGATACGACACATCTATAACACTCACCGGAGGGATAACGTCACGGGACGCAATCCTATCTGCAACATTCACGTCTCCTTTTTTATACTCAATTCAATGTACCTCACTTTCTCCTCTCATTCACAACCCAAACACTCTGAGAACTGATGAACCGGATAATTCATGTGTTGCAATCCTAAAAATGTTGCTAGGTGATCGTGGCCAGGGATGAAAGTGGGTTGTACTGGATCAAGTTTTGTTCCGAAAAGTTTAAGCTTACGCAAAAAATTTTAATTTGACGTGACTATACGAGTCTAACTGTTAACCTGGTTTGGTTTGTTTATAAAAAAACAAATGGTCTGGCCTAATCCGTTAGCTTGTTAATTTTTAACTTTTAAGTAGAATTATGGATCAACTTGTAAAATACTCAAATTTTGTTGCTAAACCAAAAATCATAATTTCAATGTCTAAACAGAATCATGAATCACAACAAAACTCATATAATTTCCATTTAAGTTATTTTCAAAAGCAAAATGCTCAAAATAAATAACATATATTTCATCAGATCCAACAAACAAATTCATACTATGTAAATTAAAATAATTATATGAATCCAACAAACACATCATGATGCTTGGAGTAAGTATAACCTCTGTCGAAAACCTTTTAATATATTCATTTACACAATCTAACGTGTTGAGCTCTTAGTTTCTCTTACATAAGAAATAAAGTCAGATTTCTATTAAAATATAATGAAATATAATTAAGTTGTAAATAATTGCAATTGATTAAATTTATATCTTTTATTTTTTCTTCAAGGTATACTTATTCTATTTTATTTTATTTAAAATAAATAATACCATATAGGCCGGCCCGTAAGCTTATAGACCAGGACTTGTAAAAGTGGGTCTATGGTCTTTTTATTAAACAAGCTTTTTCAAGGCCCTAACTCGACTTATTTTACGAAATATACTAAGTCAAGTTTGGCCTGACGTAGGCCGAGCCGTAGGCCCTTATAGGCCAGCTCAGCCCAGTTTTACCCCTAGTTGTGACACTGGAATTTTTTTGTCAAAAACAAAAAGAACTTAGTAGAGAGACACAAGAAGGGAGAAAAAGTTAGTGGGGTTGGATATGTGTTCAATTCCCGCTGAATGCATTCTTGGGGAGGGGGCTGAACCTTTAGCCATCACTGTTCCCCCGCACTCTGGATTAGTCTCATAGCCGGCTCAAAGAGTCGAAGCTCGTGGGGATACCGGAGGGAGCCAACTCGTCTCAAAGAGATAATTAGAGTTGGGTAACTCCAAAAAAAGAAGGGAGAAAAAGTTTAAAGAGGTCCAGACTATTGAAAAATTTGGTGTTCTCTTTTGCAAGGAGAAAAAAATTCTTTTTTTTTATCTTTTTTTTCTTTTCCTTTATTATTCTCACCATTTGTAAGAAGGGAGCGTTGAATGAATGATGCTCCGTAGCACCCAAATTCCTCTCGAGAAGGGAGTCATGACACCCTAAAAATAAAAAAATAAAACAAAAAATGAAGATGCGAAAGGTTGCAATATTGACCACCCCGACACTTCAAAAACTCTAACGTGTCGTGTCCGACACTTTCTGACACTCTCCGACACTCCCCGACACTCCAACACGCATTATAGAAATTCAAAAAAAGGTTCAAAGGTTGCGTTGAGTTTTTAGTTCTAACTATTAGATTCGTTGGATTACGATTACCATTTTATTGAGTTTAATATAAAAATTTGAGATATCTTATGTTTCTGTGCGAAATTGATGAATATTATAAGTTTAGTTTCATTTTTTTGTTAAATTTTTGAATATTAAATATAATATATATTACATAAATTTAAAATATTATTTAATATTAAAACGTGTCCTAACGTGTCGAAATCTGACAGTTTTTAGAATTAACGTGTCCTAACGTGTCGAAATCTGACAGTTTTTAGAATTAATGTGCCGAAATATCGTGTCATTTCATGTCACGTGTCCCATGTCGATATTGGTGCTAGATAGCTTAAATATGTTTCTCATGTACCCAAATTGATGCTTATTGATTGAAAAAACACTAGTTGGGTCAAAGAGCACACCTAGTAAGCTACATATGTGGGTGAACCGAGTCGGGTTCTTCTCCTACCCGTATCGAATAGAACATGCTGAGCCAAATCTATGGAAAATCTGCTTTGTTTAGATCGGGAAAATCGTACGTTTTTATGAAATCATGTGCTATTGCTCGAATCCGTAGTCAATCCTATTTCCGATAGGAGTAGTTGACAATTGAATCCTGTTTTTCCCATTCTTTTCATATCCGTAATAGTGTGAAAAGAAGGTCCGACTCCAAGTTGTTTAAGAAGAATGGCGTTGAGTTTCTCGGCCCTTTGCCTTAGGATTAGTCAGTTCTATTTCTCGATGGGGGCAGGGGAAGGGATATAACTCAGCGGTAGAATAACTTACTTTTGGTATTTTTGAAGTTCAATAGCTACAAAACAGAAAATTCAAATTATCAAAACATTTTATCAACAACAAATTCCTTATAAGTGAACTTGAGAAGTATATGCAACCAGGGAAATATGATTGCAGTTTAGCATGTTAATGATAATGAAGTTCAAATTCTCATATATATATATATATATATATGACTAACCAGAAATCATTTTGTTCAAGCAATTGGACCAAAAGAGTAGCTGAAATCTGAAGCTTCTATTTGTATCCGTATTATGTTAGTTTGGGATTCTTTGTCTTCATGTACCCACACCGCAAAGGAGGCAGTAAATCTTCAATTTGGATGATGAGAACCATGAGATCAGAGTCATGTAAAATGCTAAAACAAAAACAAAAACCTTGTCTGAGCCCGGGTTCGAACCGGGGACCTCTAGTGTGTGAGACTAGCGTGATAACCAACTACACCACCCAGACAATTTGTATTGCTGGGTATTTTCTGACAAGACTAAAATTAGACAACGTTTTTTCTTTGTTATAATCACATTACGTCGTCATGAAACTTTTACAATTTGCCATGGAAACGTTTTCTGTATTACTGTTGGTCAAATGGTCCAGTTTGCCAATTCATTGAATTGTACACACAAAGAGTTAATATATTCGGGTTCTAATATCTTTTCATCATATAATATAAAACTGTATAGTACCGCCATGGATATGTTGTAATTAATGTGACTATATCACGATGAATTTTTTTTTTTTTGGAAATATTCCATCGATTCATCGCTTCGTGATTAGTCTGATTCGGGGCGGGTCCAGGATTAAGGCTTTAAACCTCTCTCAAAGATGGTACTGGAAAGATTCGAACACATGCTCCACTCCCACTCACGACGAATCTTAATCATATAAAGAAAAATAAATGATGATAATTTTCTAATTATTTATATTTATATTTTTTTCTTTTTTTATTATCAGTAATTTATTTTTATATAGTTATGATTTTTCAACATAACATAATCATATTAATTAACACGTGAAATAATCCGAGGGGGGGGAGGGAACCTGAATTATTTATCATTGTCTATTATACGATAGATTAGAAAATAGTAGAAGCGAAGGGAAGCTTCATGGATGAAAATATATTATCAACGGGAATAATATATTACTAATTACGAATTAATTAATAAATTTGACCCAATAAATCATAATCGTTGATTGATAGAAATTAACGATTAAGATTTAAAATGACACAAAATTATATCATTATAAAGGACACACCTTTTTTCCATTATTCAAATAATAAATAGCTTCATAATTCTTTTAGCACTCAAGCTACCTATTTCTTTTATGGTTTGAATAGTTTTAGCAGAAACCATTTTAAAAATAATAATTTGGATAAGGGAAATACTATTTTATACGAAATAACTGACATGAAAACATTCATGAATTGTCTTTATCTGTTTCACTATTAAGTGTAACGTCGCCTTCTTGTTCTCTCGTTTGGTTTCTCACTTCTATGATTTTGCGCTGCTATGAAAATTTATGTAACTTGTTTCCGGTTAGATGGCGTTCCTCTTACTAATGTTAATTTTGAGCCATCTAATTATCATTATCTAATGGAATAAGACTTAATTGTTATCGTTGTATTTTTTTTCTCAATTAAGGGAACTCATTTTCATGTAGTGAAATTATGTGCTCTTCTTGACATTCAACCTTGGTATCACATTGCTTCATTTTTATTTTTATTTTGGTAAAAATCACATTGCTTAATTAACTAATCAATAAGAGCTCTTAAAGTGTATCCTCGGATTTCTTTCTTATGACCAATCACCCTCCGACCATGATTACACATATGATACAAACAAAAGGAACTTAACGCCATAAGCCCGTGAATACGAATAAATTTTTGGTACTACTGTACTTAGATTTAGTGCATTTCATCAATGAGAACATTATATATCAGAGGAGAGAGAAAAATTCTGACAGAAAAAATAGAATTTTAACTAACGTGTAATATTTTTATTGGTGAGATGTACTGAATCTTTAGTACAACAGTAGTATCAAAGATTTATTCCATGACTACAGTGCATTAATGCTGATGATGTTATATATTCCATCTAAATGTTAGAGGGTTTATTTCAATATTTTTTTGGATGTTATTTTACTTATTTTTTTTTTATATTTATCTTATTTATCACTTTCCAACTCCGTTAAATCATAATCTGAATATTTTATTCTTATTTCTTTTAAAAAAAGTATAGTATGACGTGAGAGATTCATTTCAATATGAATGTTAATGTATAATTAAAACCTCTGTAATCAAAGTGGTTATAAAAATTTAATTAGGGAATATGTTTAAAATGCAAAACCAATTTTGCATGAATCTTTAACCAATGGCTTAAATTTTTAAAAGATTTAGGATCTTCTTTACAACAATTGCAACATTATAGCCATATCAAGAAGACAAGATCCAAAACAAACTGTTAAATCTGCTAACCAAAGTTAATTTGTTTCAACAAAAACATATACTTTAACATTTGCTCAAACAAATATCACTCTGCAGGAGTCTGGAACCACCATTATTTCCATATTTATCGTACTTAACACACTAATTATAGATAAGTTCCTAGATACACAATACATAGACGGACACCATATTCAACTAGATAAAGGAAGGTAGATTCTTAGATATACTTGATTAGTGTAAGAATATTATCTCACACTTAATTAAGGGTTAAGAGTTCAAGAAAGGTGGTTAATTAACAAGTTGGGAAGGGAACCCCACAAGAAGTAGACACCCTTCTGGAACCAGGGGAGTTAACATACTGTCTCAGAGTTGGGTTTTGGAGGTACCCACATAAGCATGGCCTTTGTTCTCTCACCTTCTGGCAACATGTACTTGAGGGTGGTGAAGAGTTTGTGATTGCCCCAAGACAAGGGCTCAACTCCACTGGGTTGCAAGTTACAGCCTCAGCCATGTGTGCCACCTCCATCATAACCACTGCCACAAGAACCACTGCACACACAGCCACACCACAGTTAGAGACCTTCTTCATCATCATCATCATCCTCACTTTCTTGGCTTTAATTTGTCACTGCACAAAACACAACAGAGAGTGTTAATTTGTTAATTAACTTGCTTCTGAATTGAATTGGCTAAGGATGCATTCAAAATAAGCTTTGTGTGGCAGTTTATATATAAGTGGAGAGTAGTAGGTTTGGTTTTTTGCTCAATGAATAATAATAATATCATCCTGGTGGGAAGTAAAGGGAAAAGGTCCCCACAATGAAGTGGGGCGTTGAAGTGGGCGTTGGGATGCAATTATTTTGCATTAACATCACCATGATATATGGTGACAATAACAAGTGCTAGCTTTAGCATTTCTAGGGGACATAATTTTGTTTTCATGCAAATTTTTATAGAAAAAATGTGTATCATTTTAAAGGATATAAAGTTGTGTCATTTTAAGTAAGAGAAAGAGATAAACCATGAGAGAGAGAGAGTGGGGAATTTTTTTTTTAAAGATGTGGATCCCATCTCTTTATGAAAGTGGAAGGATACAAGGTATGTCATTTAAAATGACACACCTTTTTTTCATTTTTTATATATGTATTCAGGTCTGGATTTTTTTACCACGGTAGCCTTTAAATAATAAAATATTATTATTTTACCCCCGCTAAGAAACTATTCTAAAAATTTAATTTTTTCAACAAACATAATATCAATCTATCCTTGTTTGAACGTTGATTAAGTAGTTACTAGGGTCAACCGAACACTGATAGAGAATTATAAAATATAAAGTATTAAAGATACACACCAGGTACACATCCTTGTTACCAGTGTATCGTTTCCAAGTTTTATGAGTAGCAACGCGCTCTCCCACAATCATCTGTACACCTGCTCACATGGTATGGACTCTGTGTATAATTCTTATTCATTGCATCAACATCTAGAGAAAAAATTCAATGTACCGGCACACCAAACTCAATAATCTCTTTTATTAAAAAAAGAAATGGACTTAAAAAACATTATGGGAAAAAAAAATTCTCTTTTAATAAAAAAATCACTGTAGTCCCGATAGTCGATAGATTGATGTTTTTCTCCAACATGTCTGTTTGGGATTTTGTTCACTTTTTAAAAAAAAAAAAATCAGATTTTGTTCACTTTTTAACCCCTCAGTTATCTCATCCGGTTTGAATATTTTTTTTAAAATAATGTAGGAATTAGGATATATAGCAGTATTTTAAAGAAAAGAAATTAAAGAGTGCAGTATCAATATAGTCTGCATAGCGTTGCGTGAGTTTAATCTCACTTTGAAGTCAGAAATGGAATATAAACATCCCATAAGTTTATTTTTAATGGCATATCTTGCTCAAAGATTAATACTGAGCCTTGAGACGTTATGGACTTGGGAAAGATAAACTAATAAGGATGTCTAGCCCGGTAATTGTAAGTGGGTAAATAACTTCTTATCCGGGTATTTAGGTGGTTTATCTGGATATATATTCAAGTTACGTAAGAATAGTTATATTTCATAAAATATACTTAGGTAATTGGATCAGTATTCGAGGTAACTACGTGGTTAACAGTTAAATACAAATAAATTAAGAGTTTTATTAGTATTATGTAACATAAATTAAGTGTTATTTTCAACTCTCACATCAAAAAGGAGAGAGAAAATAGAATGATAAAAGAAAAAGAAAAATATGTGGACCCCACCTCTCTAATGTGTGTAGAAAAGTGAAGTTATATTATGTTAAATGATAAACATAAAACCCGTAAATTAATGTTATGTTTGTTGAGAATGTTAAATTTTTAAAATAATTTATAAGCGAGGCAAGATAATAATTTTTTATTATTTAAAGGCTACAATAGTTAAAAAAATCAATCCGATCTTGTTACCAATTGTCCTAAAAGTACAAAGAAGCATTTATTGCTTTTCTATTAAATTATAATGCCGAGGTGAAGATGGAGAGCAATAAATGTTTTTAAAGGTAAATAATACTTTTAGTAGTTTCTATTTTGATTCCTTATTTAATATCTCATGATACTCCAAACATATTTCATTATGTATTATTATGTCATGCTTATGACATTATCAACTTCAAAATAAACTCTTTATTATCAATTCAAGTGAAGGGGATTTCTTCTCCTCAATCATGGGTTTTAATGTTCAGGTCTTGAAAATGAAAAAAAAAAAATTAGAAAAAAAAATACTCTTTTAGTGACTTAATACATAATTTGATCAAAGTGTAAAAAAATTAGATTATTGTATGAGGATTGTAGAGACAAGTGTGAAGGAGAGTTTACTACACTTATTAAATATTTCTAATTACCTAAAAAATAATAAATGTTTGAGTCTCTAATTTGTGATTTTTTTTTCCATTCAATATAATTACTAGTTTTCATCTTAAAAAAAATATAATCAGTAGTTTTAATTCCTTAAAAAGTTTACATTGTGAGTGAATCCGAATCAAACTCATTATACGATAGTGTTTGAATCAATTTATTTTAAAAATTAATATTTTTTGTAATTTGTTAAGAACATTTAAAAAATAATTATTTCCCGGAATTGATACATACTTTCTAAACATGCTGAAAAAGGTATTGCGTGTTTGGTATTGTTGCAAGTATAGTAATTCCCCACAAGTGTTAAATGTTAGGTAAATACAGCATGTTTGGTTACTGGTTAGGTACCCGAAATATTAATTTCATTCCGTATTTTATTCTGTGAGATGAAAAAAATGGCAATTTACTTTTACATATTCCATCAATAGAGATTTGAACTTTTGCGATTATCACTATTTATTGACATGACCCGTTGAATATTGAACTTTTTAGATAAAATGCATGTATTAAGTGAATTTTTTTTTATTTGTTTTTTTTAACGTGTTTTGCCTTACGAAAGGTATGCTTTATGTACAGGGTAAAATATGGGCAACAAATGTTATCAAAAAAAAATATATATATATATATATATATATATGGGCAACAAAACTGCGTCTTTTCTTGCCAGAATGAAACTGCTTGTTATATAAAGTTGAGATATTCATGTCTCACATAAAAAATATGAAAATGAATATATTTATAAATTTTTTATTTACAAACTTAATTATATATTTTCAAAAATACAAACACTTAAAAATATATTTCTCGGAATACAAAGTTATATTTGTAAACAAAAAATTTGTAAATATAATCCCCTCAAAAAATATATAGGAAAAGTTAAACTTTCTTATTTTTCTTGTAAAGGATATTTATATCATTCAAATCAACTTTGATTGTATTTTACACTGTACTTTGATAATAGCACAATATTATATTTTAAAAAATAAAAATAAAAAGCATGCTCTATAACATCCCAATGCAAATTAATTTTAATATTCTGTAACATTATTATTGATTTTATTTGAGAACAACTAATAAGTAATTATTTGTGATAAATTGCAGAGTAGAAATATATTAATTTGCATCAAATAGCAATATAATTACGTTACAGAACGTTAGTTATATAGTGGTGTGGGGTGTATGTGTTAGGAGTGTGTGTAGTATAGGGTATTGTGTTCAATTCCTAGTAACCTCACAAGAAAAACGTTAGTTGTAGATATGGAAACTTTACCTCCAGGATCTGTTAAGAGTTCTGTTAGAGGATTGTTAGGGTAGTTGTAGAAGTTGCTACGTAAAGAGTTAGTTGTACAGAAGCTATAGTAGTGCACAGGTGTAGGCTTGTGTATAGTTCCTGATATAAAATATTAGTCTATAATTTTGAAGAGCATTGAATAACAATTTCGTTACTTGGTTTCCTTTCATATTTCTCTCTTTCTCTCTGTCATTAGGATTCATATCCTAAAAAAATTTTAGTGTTCCGATAAGAGAATTTAAAAGAAATCATTTAAGCATCTAATATGAAGCTTTGCTAGAGAAAAACGATGCGCACATGGAGGTCAAAAAGGACAAAATGAAGCCACATGTTTCCTTGCCTCATTATTTCCTAATTCGGACGTTAAGGAACACATAGGCCGAAAGTGATTGGGCCCACGATTGAAAAAAAGTAGTAGGAACCAGTGGACCAGTTCTAAGATTGTTCACTCTGTTTCCATTTAAGAAAATGTTAACAGTTGTTCAAACTAAAATGCTCGATTCTGTCTACCAAAAAAAAAAAAAAAATTGCTCGATTCTCTTGTTGGTTCCCTCAAATAAAAATATTTTTAGGATGCAAGTGTCACTTCTAACATATCCCAATCCATTAATCCAAAAAAAAAAAAAATATCCCAATCTATGAAAGGATATGTTATTCTACCTAATTTTTTTTCTGCCTACCACTCTAAAAGACCGTAGATCAGAATCTAAAGAATGATAGGCATAAGTAGATAGAACAACTTAACTCATCCATAAAATGTCAGTAGAGCACAAAATATAGAGCAAACAATAATAAATGAACAATTAACTGTTTCTACTGAGCTCTCGATTCAAATCTCTCCTGTTCCCGCTAAAAAGCCATAGTAGATCATATCCAGAAAAAAACAGAACAAAACTGCAATAAATTTTTTATCTATATTTTCATCTTCTACCTCAGAAAAATCACTGTAAGAGGATTTAAAAAAATAAAATAAAAAATGTCTCGTATACATGTGAAACAACGGCCAATCCCACCAAGTGGGATAGGTCAAAGATTGTTGTATATATGGGAAACTTCACCTGATGCATCAGAAAGAGCAGAAAATTACTATGCAGAAATGCATCTTTTATTGGTTCTCACCTTGCTCTTGGGTTTTTGCCTTGCCACGAAGCATCTCGCTGAAATTTCCCAGCATGATGCGCCTGAATCTAGTATCCTCTGCTGGTGATGGTGTGGCAGCCTTGGGGGACACGGCTGCCTCTGATGACGGCTCTGTGGTTTCTTTTTTTCCAAGCAACCCACCCTCACCAAAGAAGCTGCTGACTGATGACGGAAGCCCAAGATGAGAACCCATCACCTTACTAATACTCTCAAAAGTTCCCCCTGATCTTTCCTTCATAATAATTTCAAGGGCTTCTTTGTGTGCTGGATCCAGTGCATCCAAGTCTTTCAAGAGGTTCTGTATCGTAGGCAAGAAGAAGTCCCGAACACTATTTGCAGGAATATCTACAAGAAGAGAAACCAAGAATTAAAAACATTGAGGGAAGATAGAAAAGTTAAGAACCAGCAAAACAAAGTTCCCATGGGAAATTAGAACTTGTATACTATGACTTTTACACATAATGTTGCGATTTTAGACTCTAGACTTTTGAGTGTCGGATAGTTCATGAAAAAAATTTAAAATTACAAATGATTTGACATTATAGAGGGAATGACTGAAGGATGTACCAGAATTTTGATGAGCAATGATGGGAAAAGGAAAGATAATGGATAAAAAATTACAGCATTTCTTTTTGGAGGATATCTTATGATTCCTCTATTGTAATTTTCCTTTCCTATCTAGTAATATTTCTTTTCTTCTAAAAGAAAAAAAGAAAGACCCTTCATCAAATGAATAAATACACTTCCCAAAAAAAACTAGCCAGGTAAGGATTGTTCCTAAAATTTTGGTTATTCATATTCAATTAATTAATTAAACACAGGTCATTCAGCTAAACAGCTCCATACCTAACGGGTAATAATTGGGCTAGGGACAGGCACAGGGAAAAACGACCAAACTGGTAGCTCCAGGTGTAGATTACATCAATCGAAACTCTGGAGCCTATGACATTAGTACACAGGATGTTCGTGGTATCTGTTGTAAATAATAATTGTACTACTATTTTATCTATCTGTTCCCAGTCCAGAACATTAATACGCTTAATTAAACCTCAACTTGAACACCATATAGCTCAAAAGGGTCTAAGGACGCAAGATTAATATAATTTTCAAACAAGCAGACCTGTAGCATCCAGAGCACGGATTGCCTCACAAAAAGCATTGGCTCTCTCTCGTCGACGCATCAAATCACTTGCTGAATTTGGCATAGCCGTAAGTTGGAAAATCTTGGACAAAAGATTTGCGTCAAGTTAAAGAAACAAACAGCACAATTTCAGAGATGTCGAAAGCCAACAAAAAATGCAAATGACTTAAGTAAATAAAACATAAAAATGTCAGGACATTAAGCACTTCCTAAACATATTTATTTCACAGATAAGAGGTTAAGGATATAATCCCTAAGTCTTTCTGTTGTATGTGGTACCGAAACCACCAAGGCACGAATAACAGCAATAGTAGCTTCATGGGAACCATCTTCAAGAAAAGCATCCATTTGAACACGTATCTTGTCAACAATCTGGAAAATATTCAATTTATCAGGAATTTGAAATGTATAGATGCATTAACATCATAATTTCAACAGAAACAAGGGAGAAATACTATTAACAGATACCATCTCATTTTTGAAGTGTTGAGCCACAGCACCAAACGCATCTATGCTGGCATATTTTACATTCAGGTTTTGATCAGATCCAAGAGTAACTAGGGCAGGCAAAACATGAGTTGAAGCAACCTTTGCATCAATAAATGGCACCTATTAATGAAGCCAGCTATGTTAGTTTTGGCCTTTGTATGAGATGCAACTAGAAATTAAGAAAACAGTAAGCTTACAATAACTCTCAGCAGCTTGGCGGCATTTATTTTCATGTTCACATTAGAGCTGACAACCATTTCCCACAGTATATTAAATATCATACCATGGTTTTCTTCGTATATGCTGCATTATAAAGAAAACTCATTATGAATATTGGAGAAAAATTAATAATAAATTTGAAGAATGTTTGTGGTGATAATCAAACCAAATAAAGCGGATAGCATGAATAATCTCAGGAGTGTGCTTGGTTGATGGATTCTCCGTGTAATTGTCTTCTAGTAGCAGCTTCCTCAAATATTCTGCTAATTGTTCACGTTTTCCAGGAGCACTCAAAATACCAGCCAACAAAAGCGGTAGGACACACATTGTAGAAAGCCTATCAGCAACAGCAGACCTTGGACTCAAACCTACAAACGAACAGTCAAATATGAAGCAATTATGTGAAAAATTCACAGAAAAAAAGAACCGTTACCTTTAATTCTTGAATGGATGGCAGTAGGAAAAAATGTCAAATTGGCATCATCTCCAACTGCTAGTAAAAATACTGGTAGCATTATGCATGTCACATAGGAATCCCCAAACCTTTCAGAAACGGATAACAGGAACTGCATTTACATAAGTTATATCAGCAAAAACTCAAATAATTTTGATCAAACTTTAATACAAAACAATTAAAAAACAACTTTGAAAGGTAGGCAAATGACCTTTGAAATTCGGCTCCGTAAATTATCTTCTTTCTGTGGCAACAAGCAAGCCAGCTGTATCAAATTAGGAAAGCACTCAACATGCATCCATTCAAATGCATCCCATTCAACTTGTCCCCTAGTAAAAATGGAAATCAATAAAGATCAGTAGCAGTTTTGACAGTGTGGTCAAGCACAGTTTGTCTTTCAGTGTATGCATATGTGCGCTATGCATGTCCTGAATGTATATACATTACAACATGAACCGAAGAATTGGGTGGACGGATGAGACATCAAGACTCAAAGTGGCATCAGCTCTTTCAAATGCCCTAATGGTATTATATCATAATCAAATGTTCTTGCTAAGCTTACCTAGCATACAATTCAAACAATGCAGTAGATAACACCCCTTGGGTAGTTTCTGTGGTGGATGAAAAGGGGCATGTCTCAATTACTTTCTGGTGCACCAAAGACAGCAATTCCACTAGCATTCTCAACAGAACATCTATATTCCAGCGCTCTCTTTCACCCAAGACACGAAGATGTGACTCTATAGACCCTTCAACCCCAGAAAGAGGCGGACAACGCTGCAGATAGGGGCAAAAAATTCCACTCAAAAATAATTTCCATCAAGAATGAAATTTTCAGTCACAAGTGAGAAGTGATGGTACAAAGGAAAACATATACCAGAGCAGAGCTTAAAATATGAGAAAGTAAAACTCTCAAAACATGATCTAATTTGTTTCCCCACTTTATAACTGCAGGAACCAATTCCTTGAGAGTAGTTTCCACCACCACTCCTGACGGATCACATACCAATTGGAACATCAACTCCTCCACCTATTAACAAAAAAACAAAGACTTGAAGCAACTCATAATCTTTATTGTTGTTTTTCTTTAAAAGTTGTCATATTATGGTAAGGGTAAAATGCTCCATTCCCTAGACCATGTCTCGTCAACCTTTTCTAGAGCTTACATTGTAGCCAAGTCTCAAGTCAGAAACCTTCTCCATGATTGCCTCGAAGCAAATATAGTGAGGCTGACCTTGAAATATTTATCCATGTTTGGGAAAAGTGGAAGCAGCATAGCCAGATTACAAGCCGCAGCCTCTCGAACAACAGTAGCAGAATCTTCTATTAGTTGCTGCACAATAGATAAAATAAGAGAATCGCGAATCTCAGGCCGTACAAATTCTGCAAGCTCTCCACATGATTGAGCAACCAGCAGTCTACGCTCCTCATACATGTGACTGATCTAAAAACCATAACACCAACAAGCTGAAAACCTGGTTCCATAATCAGAATGGAAAAGAGTAAGTTGAAAATTGAGGCAAGAATATACTTGTTCCCAACACTGCGGAAGCAATTCTGTTTCGGTTCTCATCTCTCCAACATTCTTAGCAAGGCTGACACATGCCTGAAATGGTCAGAGGGAAATTCAAAATTGCACCCAAAACCTTTCATAAAAAAAGTTAAGAAAATAACGTAACATACATCCATTATTATTCGTCTCTGTTGTTCATCAGGACGCTTGATTAAATTAAACAATGTGTGGGTCAACGAATCTCGAGTGCTGCTATCTGGGTGGCGCTCAATTGCACACATTATTAGAGGAAGGAGCTCCTGCAATCAAACAAAACTAATGAAGCCTATGTAGGACAGTGAACAAGTGAAATAAATTTATCGAGAAGCAAACCTCACGATGATTGATCAAGACATAAGGAACAATTTTAGGCAAAGCGTCTGCAAGTATCTGAATGGTTCCTAATCCCTGTCAAAATATGAACATATATAAGGACAAAAGAACATAATAACACTGATGTAGACAAAGACAAATCCCTTTTGTTAAAATTTAGCCATTCTAACTTTTCCTCATTTCTTTTCGACAAAAAGGGAACAAATATTTTATCCTTATATTTTTCAAACTTTATGTAACTGCCGATAAGAGGGCGAGCCTAGAGTAGTGGTAAAGCTATTCCTTTGTGACTGAAAGGTCACAGGTTCGAATCCGGGAAACAGTCTCTTTGCATATAGGAAGGGTAAGGCTGCATACAAAGATTGTCCTTACCCCACCCTCGCTAGTCGGGATTTAATAGGAAGTGGTTTTTTTTTTTTTATGTAACTGGCTATGAAAACCAGCCCCAACGGTTCAGTCTCACCAAATTCTAAAAAGGAAAGCAATATGAAACCAATACGTTATGATGTTTAAGAATTTATTCAAGCAAAGAGTACAATGAACTTGCCATCTTCTCGGATATTGCTTCATCATTTCCACTGTCAGGTCTAACAAGTAATCTGCGATCCTCTGCTTGTTGTCCAACATTTTGTTCAGAGACATTTTTGATATTTTGATCAGCATTATTTGAATTTGCCGGATTAAATAACACAGGCAACGAATCTTCATGTTTATCAGCATACTCATTAAGAGTTTGAATAACTGATGATTGAGCATCTTCATTGTGTACAACACCCAAAGCCACAGCAACAGGGTTAGAGATTGCACCTCGGTCTTCATGAATCTCAATCACTTTGTCATCTGTTTTATCATCTGTCTGCAAATTTTCATTTTCAGATCCAACAAAATTCTCAGGTTCAGGAGCTCTTATATTCTTCTCCTTCAACAATTTAATTTCCATCTGCAATTTCTTAATTTCTTCCTCATACTTCTCTAAAGATTGAGATTGAACATTATTAACATCACCAACAACCACATTATTTCCTGAGCGAGACCCTTCAATATGCATTTTCAGGGAAGTGATCTCAGCTCTGCAATCATTGAACTCCTTTCTTTGGTGCTCCAAGGATTGCTTTAAAACTTGCACCTGAAAGTTAAAATTAGTATATCATAATTTTGAAAATACGAATATCGTTGGACAGCATCTCTTAAAACATAAGAAGGAACTACCAGGTTCTCTTTGTCTTTAAGTTCTTTCTGCATTGCATCCACGGATTTAGTTAATGCTCCAATTTGAGCATCTGCCAAATCTCTGTTCTTCAACAAGATCTCCTTTTCTTCATTCAGCCTCTCATTAGCTTTCAGCAACGTTTCATTGTCTCGAAGTAGAGAAATTTTTTCCTGCATTAGCAGCATGCATTTGAAATTCAGCAGATACAGTAATTTGAAATGAATATTACAGGATTAATTTGGCGAAATATATTTACATAAATATTCAAAAGACCAATTAAAAGTCAATTTAAAACAACCAATGCCTCAAATATCAAGAAAAGAAGTTTCACTTACTAAGAAGAGCAGAAATTCTTAAATATTATTGCAAAGGAAATGATTTCTATGAAACTAATTTAGTTTCAATGGAAATAAGAAGAGACTTTGTGGAATATGAGGATGAGAATTGAGAAACCCTTCACAATTTAAAGCAACAAGAAATTGCAAAATTGCAAAAGAAACTCGTGGAAAGCACTAAGCAACAGAATGGCTGATTGTCAAGTCTCAGAAGTCTGAACTATAATAACGCATCACATAAAGACCTAAAGATAAAGCCATACAAGGTCTTCTAACCTTATAACAGGTGTAATTTTAAACCCAAAATAGACCAACCAATTCAACTAGAAAACGAATGAACTAGTCAACTGAGCAATGACTCCGGTAGAACATACAGAAACCATGCGATTAGAGAAGACTATATTTGAAGTTTGAATTGGCGAATTCATCACCAAACCATTGACCTGACCACAGGTTTGGAGGGTTGGACACAATTTTAAAATTCAAACAAATCATTAACTCGGTCAAAGTATTGAGTCAATGGATCATGGGTTCAACTGATGAGTCACTAACAGCACAAAATAAAACAAATTAAAAGTTAGACAAAAATTAAATATAATAAAAGTAAATAAATAAATAAAAACAAAAAATAAGTAAATTATTTAAGCTAATATTTCCAGGCATTGTATCAAACTCTACTTCAATTGCATGGTTTCTGACAAAAGCTTTAAAGTGCCAATTATTATATTTGGTCAACCCTTTTTTTCTTTACTCTCTTTTGTTCCCAAAACAAAACCTGTCCCTCATTTCTCTCATCAATAAGTTAAATCAGACTTCAAAAGGTACCTACCATAATTGCTTTATATTTCACAATGCACCTTTATCACTTTCTTTCTCTCTCAAACAAGTACTCTTCCTCTTTAGTTCCAGTATCATAGGTCAGATCCTTCATTTTCACTCTCACCTCTCTCTTTAAGTTTAATTGGTGGTCATGATATTCTAGTCTCAAGCACCCACCCAGAGCTCTCCACACTCAAGAATCTCTAGGGAGCAGTGACTGAGTCTTGGACTCACAAACTGTCAATCCCTTCCCCCCCCCCCCCCCCCCCCCTCTCTCTCTCTCTCTCTCTTTAACTTTTTCTTTCTAGAATCTTCCTTTTTATTCATGAAGGATTTGGCATGAGTCGCATGACCCACCCACCATGGCAACAACTAAACCAGCAATGCCAACACTAGTTCCGATGTGGACACCATCAGCCCAGTTGCAGCCACAGTCACTTGCTCTTTTATGTTGCTTAGCCGGTTTGATTCGAGTCAAAACAGTTTAACCGCAAAAACGATCTAATGCTTGACTTGCCTCAGACATGCCAGTAGACCAGTTCACTGGTTGAACCATTCCATCTACGCTAAGTTTTAAAACATTGGTTGGACCGATTTGCTGGTGCAGTTAGAGAGACACAGAGAAAGCAAGTGGATCCCTCAAATTGAAAATTGTGAGACCCACCGCTCGATTCTCTCTCTAACTGCAGTGCATCTTATCAAGCATAACCCTAGACAAGCATTAACAAGAAAAAAAGAACCAAAAGGAACCTCAGAAGAAGGGTAATGTATGACTGGAACTTAAGGATATTCGGGAGACAATTCAGAAAATTGGGAATTTAAAGTTTATGTAAAATCAGAATGAAAGTCTGATACCATGTTATGAGAGAGAGAGGGTTTAGGAAAGGGACACCAACTCAGCTTGTTAGGCTCCGAACTCTTATATTTCTATATTATGATAAGATTATGAACAAGGGTCATACAGACAGGCCCTGTCCATATAGTAATCCTAACCTAAACAGATAAGGCCATAAACTATTACATATTCTAACACTCAGAACATCAATCATCAATAAAAATAAACTTAAGAGAAAAAAAAAACATAATGATAATAGAAGAAAAAAGGACATATAAAACCTATGAATGAATAATACAAGACATATAAAACCCAAAAACAGTAAGCTGAAGAAGTCAATTGGAGAAAAGACATCAAAAAATAAACACAGTCAAACAGTTTCTCTGAACTTTTTTTTTTGTTATGTGTGTGTGTGTTGGGGGGGTACAATCCCAGCACTAATTTAGCAAGTATGCAATGAGGAATGAGCAACTTGCTTATACAATTAAAATAAAAAAACACCTCAGCAGCCTCCGAAGTCGATGAAAGATACTGATAATAATAATGACGCAAGGCATCTGGTACAGATGCAGGTGTGTTGTGCCAAACGTCCAAGTTCTGATCCGTAACCTACAGGAACAGTTATAGAAGATTTAAATATAGCTAAAATTAAGCACCAAAAATGGCAGGGCCAACCTACAGTGATATATACTACATAAATATGTTCACCCGATATAATTTGACAGCATTTCTGATGTTTTACAAACATAAGAACAACCATTATAGCAATTATAGATCTTTCAGATTGTGTTGAAACTAAAAGTAAAACTACCAATTATTTCCTCATTAGAAAAAATATATATAGTAAACTAATCCATATCAAACATCTAGTTTTTTATTTGGATAATTCTGTGGACCAGTGGTATCTGTTGTTGTTGGAATATTAGGGTTATTCATTTATTATGAGTCTTTTTTGTTAGTAGTCTTATTGGGCTGAATTAGTACTAGTGGTACTACATTAGAACTTAACCAAGATTATTAGTATAAATAGGTTTTACTTGTTTGTATATGTAACACATACACATGATTTCAATCTAATATTATTATCCAGGTTCTCTCTTCTCCTTTCTCATCAAATTCCTATAATTTCGACAGTTGCAATACTCTCTACCTTGTTGGCAGTAATATTCACTGTTGAATGACTGTTGAACAAATCTTAATCAAAATCCAAATGCAGGAGAATGAAGATATACCAAAAAAAGAAAGTAACAGAAACCTCCTTAAATATCCTCTTTTGTTTCTTTGGGTGAAGGAGCGCAAATAAACAGGATAATTAAAGAAAAGGAGATAACACAGGGAAATGATTTTAACTAAAAGTAAAATAAATTTTCTTTTTGCAAGAACCATAGAAATACAAAACAGGCCCCACAAATATCAACAGAATTGCAACCTCCTATCCATCTAGCAAGCAGTATGAGAAGTTCTCAACAAAAATGAACTTAAGTGAGGGTTTTTTTTTTTTTTTTTTGTATTTCTCCTTTATTTCCCCTTAAACAGACTGGATTGACTAAAGAGGGTTTTTTTATACCCAACCAGTTAAGAATTAAGAGTGATGAAGTTAGGGTAGAAGTGTCATTTAGATCAAAATCCATGATGTTGCTGAGGCAGGAGTCTTGCCCAATCCCACCACAAGTAATAGGTAGTGTCTCATGGCTGCTTCCTCAACATTGTGATACCTTGGAATATCTGAGGTGCTAGTCCAAAAACCTGCCTCACCTTAGTACTGAGGCAAGCACTTTTGATAATACTATCCATTCCAAGGTCCATCATCTCACTCTAGAAATAAAAAGTAAAAGAGCATAGCTTCCTCTATACATGTCATATATGACTTATTAATATTTGAGTGGTTCATGATCCATACATGAAGCTACTACAGCCACTGCTGCCACTGTAACTACTTATTTCCCAATTGCTAATTGAATCAGGTATTGGACAAGAAAATCGAAAACTGAAAGAGTTATGCAGCAAAGTGCATCTCAAAAGAAGAAGGAAGCCATCACTTTCTAAACAAATCACAAACTAATACAGCAATACCAACCTCTTCATAAAATGTCATTGCAGTAAGACGGTAACCAGCTATAAGCAAATATTCCTTTACAGCACAATTAAGATCTCGACGTTCAGTCTCCTTTAATGAACCCAGATCAGTGAAGGAAGTGTTTTTCTTTTGTTGTAGAATTTGTTGCACATCATCCCCTGAAACATCTCCACTTAACCGTGCAGCTGCATCCAAAATAGAAGTATGCACGAATTAAAATATTTTGGTATCCTATGCATATAGAGAAGTTCTACCAGAGAAAAACTAATGTATTTAAGAGCACAGTATATAAGACATCCTCCTATAAAGCTAAATTGCATTATTAGCCAAAAGGTAATGGTAACTACCAAACTACAAATTGGTTTGACTCTACAAATCATTGTTATTTTTGGGAATATATTAAGCAAGACTAAACCAAAACTGATATTCAGCAGCGTAGAAGGCTTAACTAGGTTCTTTTGAAGCAATGAAGTTGTTTACTTTGTTTAAGGAAAAGGTTGTGTTTATTTTAGTATGAGTTTATCACTTTTATTGCAGGTGTGTTTGTGGAGGTAGTTCCCTAGGAAAATTTTGGCACAGCTGTGGTGTTTTCCTTTTCTCTAATCTACATGGGAATATGGGATGTGTTTGTTTTGTGGTTTCTTTTGGGGGGCTTTAATTTTTGTTTTCCTTCAACTATGTTGCCTGTTTTGCAGGACACCTTATCCTCTGTTGTGTCTTTGTTTCCTATCTAATAATATTTCTTCTTCTATCCAAAAAAAAAAAAAAAAAAAACTTAACACATTATATTCATAAGGAAAAGGTCTCCAACAAAATTGTACATAATTATGTAAAATTTTGTGGCAATAAAGGCCAAATGCATATCACATTAAATATAAAAAGATAAAGAGGTAAAACTATCTTAAAAAACAAGAAAAATACCATTTCGTTCACTAATATTTTCTTCCTTCTTCTGCAATTCATTCTTGAGTTTTAAGATGTCTTCTTGAGCCAAACGCAGTTCATAGTCACTAATAGCTAACTTTTCTTCTGCTGCTTCTTTCTCTTCCAGCAAACTTTGAGGATCTGCCACTGCTTTGCCAGAATGAAAATGATGAGAAAATATCATCAGGCATGGGAAACAAATACAATACATATGCCTTCTAAACCACCTGGCATATCAATATTTCTGATAAAAAGTACAGTTGTTCATCAATGCACACCTACTATAAGAAGCCAAGGTCCGAACATATCAAGGAGTATGTTGCATAAAATGACCTAACACAGTTGATATACATCACTTCAATCTATCGTAAATGTCATGACCACCCTTATCTATTAAATTATGGTATGTGAACTTCAGAATGACTTAAATTTCTTAATCTATTCTCCAACAAAAATTTGACACAAATCATCCTTAAATTCTTTATATATTTGTTTTTAATTTCAAATGCAAATATATTCTGATCAAATATGTATAACATCCCCTTCGATTTTAAAAATCTTATCTATTTTTCAAAAAAAAATTAATTGTGCAATGCTCAAAATACTTAGTAGTACAAGCCTAATTCAAAGACTCAGTCCTATAGGCACCACCAACACAATGAGCTGTCAAATTTCAGGTAGACCGAACCAATGGAAATTAGGAATATGGAATATTGAGGCTGTGCATGTTTCTGAAGAATTGAAAAAAGGGAAACAAATTGGATTGGAAATGAAAGAATGCTGACCTCGGAGAGAGTTGAGGCGAGAGATAAGATCAGTGGGGAAGAGTGAGGGATCTGAGAAATATTGTTTGAGGCGAATGGCTTGATCGTCGTGGCCATCGTCGAGAAGCTCGTGAAGAAGCTCAAATGCTGTGAGCACGTAGTTCTCCTCCAACAGAAAGTTGACCACGCAATTGCACAGCGACGATCTCTCCACGTTCATTTCTATCTCCCAAATCCTCAGATCAAAACCCTAATACTCTCTCTCTCTCTCTCTATCTCTCTCTGCGTGTGTGACTCAGTCTCTGATCTAAGGCCATTGAAGAGAAGAGGACGAAGACTCCTTAGTTTCAAAATAGTTAGGTGACATCTCACTTGTTGTTTATTATTATTATTATTATTATTAGAGGTAGAATATTGTTATTATTATATTGTTACTGTTAAATAATATTAGTATCAATTTTACTATTATATTTTAACTGTTTATTTCTATCGATGAACAGTTATACTTAATATAAATTAATAATTAATTAATGAGTCTGTTGTTTATTATTATTATTATTATTATTAGAGGTAGAATATTATTATTATTATATTATTACTGTTAAATAATATTAGTATCAATTTTACTATTATATTTTAACTGTTTATTTCTATCGATGAACAGTTATACTTAATATAAATTAATAATTAATTAATAAGTTTGATTTGTGAAAATAATAATTGTTAATTGATAACACTTAAAATATGATAATAACTTATTATTATTATGGAATTGCACGTTCTGCCTCTCCTATGTTTGCTGTAGTCAAACGAGGTTGTGTCGGAATTACGACTCTTCACAATTAAGTCACGGGCGTTTGTCACGAGAGAAATTTTTGATTACTGAGGGAAAAAAAAATCTCAGAATATGATGGGGTAATATTTTTGTTTGAGTAAATTACGAAAAGGTGTTTGGTAAACAAAAAGTTTGTCGGGAAAGTTGAGTAATTTTTACTAATGCTACGTTTGGTTGATGGTGAAATATTGATGGGAATGTGTTATGAAATTACGAAATTACCCCAAAATGTTAAAATATTATAATCAATTTCGGTAATAAACGTACGTTTTAGCACTGCATTGTAGTTTTGAAATTTTGCTTCAGAAAATTTTGCTGAAACCCCCCTTACTCTCTCTGGCACAGGTTGCTATTGAATATGCATTTGGGTGTATTTGGTTCTGCAAATGGGGTGTGTATCAACAGTGATGCCGCTGATATTGGTTGTCACAATGAAAGGAGTTGTAGTCTATGATGGTTCTTTGTTTAACATGACATGTTACTATGGTGGTTCTTCTGGGACCCTACCCGTACAAAGCTATCAACAGTTATTATGGTGAAAAACAAACCACACGATGCGGACGGAGACGAAGACAAGCTCTACTCCAAAGTAGATCTCATGATGTCGTGTTTAAGCCACACATTTTTAATCACTTCTGTCTTGTTCAGAGAAGTTGTACCTCACATATACTTTTTTTCAGGGCATTTTTGTGCATAAATCATAAAATGAGTTTCTCCGTTAGTTGGATAAAAAAAATACCACACTAGAAATCGCATAATTTTTTTCCATTGCCCCGTTGAGAACAAAATGCATGGGAGACATAATATACCGGTATTTTGATATTTGAGGACATACCAAACATGGTTAAGATATTTTATCTATCTCACTTTCCCAACAATCTTATAAAATTCCTCGTACCAAACAACCCCTTAATTCAATCTATGAATTGTGCGATTATGATTATTTTATCTCTCTTTTAAAATCAATTTATTATTTTGATTATATATCAATTTGTCTCTCTTTTTAATTATATATTAATTTGTCTTTATTTGATCAAAACTTAACCAAATTCTAAATCTTTGGTAAGTAATTTACTCGAGTGTGATGTGAGTCAAATTTTAGTTAACAAGGACATATTAGTGTATGATTTGAGAAGAGGAATAAATTGATATATAGTGTTAGAAAATAAGTAAAGTGATACTTTTTTATTAAAATAGAGATAAGATGGTCAATCCGCCGTTTTGCAATTTTGGGTTTTATACATGACAAGTTATTTATCCTCCATTTTTAAATAAATTTGTTCTTCAATTTGGCTTTTCAAAATTAGGTTTTAATTTCTGTTTGCTCATAGCCAAAATGTTTATACTATGAATAAATCATCTTGGGCTACTTACCATGAAAGCGCTCAGTCTATAGAATTTATATAGACCGAGTTAGTAATTAAAAGAGTGATATATTATCGTTTTAAATAAAATAAATACAAAATTATGCATGAATTTTTGTGAAAATAAATTATTTTAGATTTAAAAGAACGGTATAATCTACAGAGTTTATATATACTACGTATATAAACGTAGATTCCTTTAAATATAAATATAAAGAGACCCAATTCGATGGTTTTGCAATTGAAGATGTGGCCGATGCTTGGGCCAAATATTTTTGTGTGGCAAAGCAATAATTTTATAGTTTGCGACAACTTTAGAAAGTGTCATAGATTGATACGACTACGAGTGCTAAAGCCATGACAAAAACCGTCTTCTTATATCACGATTGTCGTCTTGTTCAGCTTCAATGCGATGTAATGTTTTTGAGTCTTTCATAATACTCATTTAAATCTCATGTTCATTTTCTGGCATTCACTTTAATCGTTATTTATAGTTCGTTCCAAGAACTCATTCTTAGAAACTGGACCATCGAAATATTTTCACATATGCTGTTGAAAGATTAATCTTTCAAATAATATCACGATTAAGAAGCTATATTAATTCTCAAAGTTTAAGTTTAATATATTTGACGCATACATATGTGTGTGTAAATTAATTATTTTTTTAAAGAACCTTGGGATACACCACCCCAAAAGTTAGTTCAAAGAGTGAGAGTGTCCAAAACCTTATAAACTCCACATTAGTTGTTCATACAACCAATGTGAAACTATATATCTCAACAACTTTATTTTATATTTTTTTTTGGTAGAAATATATCTATCCTAACAAATAAAATAGTGGGATATGATTTTACATCATTTTCACTTTTTCCACCGTGAACACAGCAATACTGTCTCTCCCATTATCATTAGCCACGTTACCACCGCCAGCACACAATAATTCAATTTTTTTTTTAAAATAACAAATAAAATAAACATTTTGAAATAGAGGAAGTAATTATTTTTCCTCTTATACATAAAAGGTACGGTTTCTCATTCAATGCTTTATTTTCTTACTCAATGTTCACTTTCTCTATAATCTTTTGATAACTGAAAAATAATGGGTAATCCAAGTTTTTTTTTTCATGACCATCAATAGAGAATAATATAAACTATTAAAAAGATTTTTACTCAACGCCTTAAATTATTAAGTTGAAGTTGTTCTTTACATGACATTAGAGTCTCAGTGTCTATAAGATCACGAATTTGATCCTCATGCCCTCCACTTGTGAAATTAAATAAGTATAAGGTAAATCAAAAATCGGCTCTTTGCATATCCACGCTTCAAGCTTAAATAGCTCTTGTGTAAGAAGGTGTGTTAAAGAATAATATAAACTATTAAAAATGTTTTCACCCAACGCGTTAGTCGTGATTCGTTACAAACACACAAAAATATTAAACGTCATTAATATATTCTCAACCTATGAAAAATATTTCTGTGAAAGAAACATTTTACTTACTCTATTTTACAGTAGTTTCTTTCTTATAAAAAAAATTGGGAGTCTCATAATGATATTTGAATAGAATTAAATGCTCTAATGTTGAAGGACAAATAAAAAACTTTGTTATCTTAAATAACAGCAGAAAATTATGTTCTACTAGAAAAAATTAGTTGGCACAATTGAATTTTCGATTTTTACGAGAAAAGACTGTTGCTATGAAACAGACAAACGAAAGAGAAAATGAAAAGTAGGTGGTCCCAAGAAATAAATGCAAAAACAAAAAAATTGAGACCTGTAATGCAATGAAAAATCTATACAGAAATAAGAAAGCGATGTATCCAATAACAACCAGTCATCGGGACTCACTCCCTCTTTCTTGTTACAAACATTCTTGTTTGGCCATTTGAGCTTAGAATTCTCAACCACAACTTTCACCTCAAATTTTGATTTTTCAGCTAACCTGCCTCCAAGCACTGTCTCGGGTATGTCATTTGCTTCCTTTATGATGTTTTCCTATATCACTGTTTAAATGTCACATGATGTGTAGTTAAGGTAGCAGAAAGACTACAATAATTTGTTTCATGTTGGTTTTGAAACTTCTAATACAAAGTGATGATGCTATCTTAGGATAAACTAAAAGTGAAATTTTCTGATTATCTGAATTTTTTTTAAGTCTTAAGTTTTTGGCAACATTTTGTTAATAATACAGCAAAACCAGATGGATGGTACTGAGCTTGGTAGCAGAAGAAGAGTTGGATCAGTTAAAGCTGCCGTTAACTTGTTTGATGATAGGATTGCTGATGATACTGATAGTCCTTCATTGAAGAAAAAGATTGACTTCTCAGTGGTATGTTCAAGCTTCAGAGACCCCTCTTATTGTATTTGCAATTTTACACTATTGTGGCATTTATTTATTAAATCTTTCTGTCTTTTGTTTGTTTGTTTTCCTCACATATTTCTCAGAAGCCCTCTTCAAGAACAAGAGAACTCCACAGAGCAAGAAGGGATATTGGCAAGTATAAAGAGAGCAGATGGAATGCAGAATCTACAAAAGCTCAAGCAGAATCTAAGCTTTCTAATGCAAAGAAGACAGTTAAACAACTTTCTTCTATGATTGAGGAATCGAGTTACAAGGCAACGGCACAGATAAGAGATATAGAAACGCTAGAGATGTTGGGAAAGGACCAACATGGGACAATGGTTGCACAAAGGAATGAGAGTCATGAGTATGCACAAGTGATGACAGAATTAGAATGTCTTAGAAAGGAATTGTTCGAGCTCAAGCTTGATGTGGCTTCTGTGTTGGAAGAGAAATCCCGAGCAGAGAAAGAAATTGAAGCATCAAGCTCGAAGATGCTCTCTAGTTCAAGAACTGCAGAAGCACTTAGAAAGGAGATTGAGGAAGCCAATGAAGAACAAGTACTTGCTGAAGTGGCCAGGATTGAGGCTTTGAAAGAATTGTTAGATATTGAAGCCCAGAGAGAAAAGGAAGCAGATGAATTTTCATCCAAAATGGAAAGCACGAGGAAAAAGTTGAAAGAGGCCATGGAAGAGATAGATGAGTCACAGGAGCTTGAAATGAAATTAACTATGACAATGTCAGATGTTGATGTCTTGCAGAATGAGTTGAACTTAGTTAAAGAAATGGAGAAAAGGGTTCAAGGAGATGAGAGTATGAAGCAACTGGAAGGAAGTTTCAGGAAAGAGGAGGAATCAGGAGACTCTACTACTTTACAGACTATAACAGAAGAATTGGAGGCAGCAAAGAAAGAACTAGCTTTGACTAGAGAAGAAGGTTTTCAGTTTATGGCCTCTATGGATGTTATAAGAAATGAGCTGAAGCATGTTACTGCTGAGACAGTTAGCATGAAGAAGAAGGAAGGGAAAGTGGATTCAACAGTTCAAAATCTAAATTCCAAGCTTTTGAGAGCAAAATGTAAGTTAGAAGCTGTATCTACTGCAGAGGAAAAGGCCAGATCAATAGTCATTAGCCTATCTCATGCTCTTGATAACCTGAAGACAGAAACAGAAGCAGCAAGAAAGGAAAAGGAGCATATAAGCCAAGAGGTTAAAACCACAAAGGCAGAGACTCAAAAAACTGAGTTTCAGATAGACATGATTGAGGAAAGATTGCAAGGATTACAGCAAGAGCTAGAAGTAGCCAAAACATCCGAAGCTTTATCCTTAGAGAAGCTGAAGACCCTTACCGAGACCACCATGAGAGAAAGAGCTATAACAGCACAGCATAGTTCCAAGATTACTATATCAAAATTTGAATATGAGTATCTAACTAATCATGCAGCCGCAGCAGAAGAAGTTGCTGATAAAAAGGTTGCAGCAGCTCAGGCATGGATTGAAGCTCTCAAGGCCAGTGAGAAGGAAATACTGATGAAAACAAAAATAGCTCAGAGAGAACTCAAAGAAATGAAATTAGAGGAAGAGGTGGAGGTTTACACCAAAGAGAAGTTGCTTTCAAAAAGAGTTGGTAGTGAGGAGTTGGATTATTATCCAAGAAAACGTGAGAAGAGTTCATCCAAAAACATGCATAGAACCATGTCTAGAAAGAGCATCAAATCCAATGGCATTATAACTCCTGCCAAGAGAACCAAGTTTCAGAAGTCTGCTTCACCCGCAACTCGGCATGTTAGTCCTTTCATTGTTAAGAAGAGAAAGAAGGTGATACCAAATTTGGCAAAGTTTTTTAGAGGCAAGAAAAACACTAGGACTGCATAGTGAAATCAAAATAGAAAAAAGATAATGATAGGACTTCATATATATCACTGCCAAAGTTTGGCAGCATGGAAGAGTGTGAGGCAAACATGTCTATTAGTGTATAACTCACATTACAGAATTCATGTTCTCACTCTGTCTCACTTTTCTTCCTCTATCATATTGTCATTCCCACAAGGCTTGAGTGTTTGAAAGAAGAAAGTACTTTGATTTGTTCTACTTGTAATACTAAATTTACTTAATAAAAAGAGAAAAATTCAAGTAATCCCCTTCGTGCACAAGTTACGAGGAATGCATAATTAGTTTGTTGAGGAGACAATAAGCCTGCTTCAACATGATCAAGAATTGCAATTGATCGAATGCATTGACAAATGAATAATCCATGCATGCTCAAGGCGTAATCTAGACTAATACACATGAAGTTGAATGAAGTTATATAATTAAAAATGGAAGAATCTCTTTACAAATTTTTTTTTGAAATTTTTTACAAATTACACTATGTTCTCCCGGAAGAACATAATATAGTTTGTAAACAAAAAAGTTTATAAATATAACTTGTTCCATTAAAAATAAAGATTTATTGTTTCTTGTGTAACGAGGCGTTACTCTCTTGAAGACACATAATATGAGACTTATACAATGGTATTAAATATTAAATCAAATTTATAAGGTATGATGTTGGATCTAATATAATGTTATGTACAAATTATAACTGGACGATTTTAGTTTTTTTTTCCAATATCGGGGCAAGGATCATTTTATATTACGCTCTCAATGTTATTTGTCACTCTTATTTATGTTTAAAAATTCTAATTTATATGAGGTGTCAGATAAAAGTGACGTTGTCTGAAACTTTAAGATATGATTATTGATATGTTTACCTAAGTAGTGTTAAGGATAAATTTCCAAGGCTCTGTTAACAAGTTGTAGGGGCATCTAGGCACCAGCTAAGGGAAGCCTGCTATATTTAAAAAGAAAAAGAAAAATTAGAATATCTAAAAAATATAATGTAATATTAAAATTATGGGAGAAGTTATACTTACTACTAAAAAATATAATGTAATATTAAAATTATGAGAGAAGTTATAAATCTAATAGTTATAATTTATTGGGTACACTTATTAATTAATTATTAATTTTCAATAAATTATAATCGTTAGATTGAAGAAAATAAACTTTAATTAATTTAGTAGTAACAGTTATCAAATTTTTCAGTAATAAGTATAACGCTCTCTAAAATTATATCTTAAAATAGTTTAAAGTCTAGTAGATGAGCTCTTAAGATTAATTTTCTTATTTTTATATACTTTATGATTTATTTCCTTATTTTAAAATCCTTAATTAATTTAAATAAAAATTAATACTCTGTATTTTATATCTCATCATATTATATATGAATATACGATATTATCATCTTTATTGTTCTCTCCACATTCCTCCCTTTGTATCAAAATCAAAATAATTTCAACAATTTTTATTATAAGTTTATTAGAGAAAAAAACAGCAAAAGTATTTTTGTCTTTTTGCGACAGAAAAATTTTATTTTTCGTAAACACATTTTTACGAAGATATCATGTCGGATCCTTGTTTAAAAATAAATATAGAGTAAATATCATTTTTGGTCCTCAACAAATTTCAAGATGTCCGGTTTAGTCTCTAGCAAATAAAAATGCTCATCGTGGTCCCTAGAAAATTCAAAATGGACCCATTATAGTCCTTTTAGGGACTAATATGGGTCTTTTTTTGAATCTGTGAGGGACCACGATTTCAATTAAATGGATCCATTTTAAATTTCTTAGGGACCACGATGAGCCTTTTTATTTGCTAGGGACTAAAGCGGACATCGTGAAATTTGCTGAGGACCAAAAAGGGTATTTACTCAAAAATATATATCGTTGCAAACGAATGCTGATAAATATATGTACGTGACTAGTGTTGGGAATGGAACGAGGGAGCCCAAAACCCTTTGCAAAGGGTGTACATGCACCAATGAGCCAAATGACAAACCATAATAAGTGGGCCGACACCACATCTCAACCTGGCTCATTGGTGCATGTACACCCTTTGCAAAGGGTTTTAGGCTCCCTCGTTCCATTCCCAACAGTGGTATCAGAGCTTTGAAATTTTTAAATGTAGAGAAAGCTTCTGACTTTTCCTGTAAAAAATAAACCCACGTTTTTCTAGAAAAATCATCAATGAAGGTAATTAAATATTTTTTACCTCCATTAGAAATTGGATTTATTGGACCACAAATGTCTGAATGCACCAATTGCAAAATTCCCTTTGCTCTCCATGAGTTCCCTTTTGCAAATTCAGAACGATGTTGTTTGCTAACAACACATTCTTCACATACTAAGGAATGAGGAATTGTGATTTGAGGGAAGCCTGTCACCATATTTTTCTGTTGGAGCGTCTTCAACCCACCAAAGCTCAAATGGCCATAGCGAAAATGCCACAACCATGAAGGATCTTTCATTTCAGCCATTATCTTCTATTTGTGTGAAGACTGAAGAAAAGAAGTGCGTCCCCTCTATAGCACAAACAACTAGATTGGATTCCTTCAATCTTTAATGGAAACAATCTGTTTGAACTCATCTGAATAACAACAATAGCACCTCTAACAGAATCATATATTTCACAAACACCATTTTTAATAGTGATCACATAACCCTTTTCTTGTAATTGGCCAGCACTCAATAAATTACTTTTCAAATCAGGAACATACAATACATTAGATATTGTTTCCACAAAACCATTCTTGGTTTTTATTTTAATGTCACCTTTTCCCATTACTTTCACAGTAGAATGATCACCAAAACTCACAGTAGATTGAAAATTTTCATTCAGATGAGAGAAAGAAGACTTACTACCACTCATGTGGTTGCTACAGCCAGTATCCACATACCAAACATCTGGCTCAATTTGCTTTTCATCTTTAGCAACCATCAATAAGGTTTCACCTTCCTCCTTTTCTGCAAAGTTTGAACTTTCTTCTTTTTCTTTGCTATTTAGCAGCTTAGTATAACATTCAGATTGATAATGACCAAATTTATGACACCTGAAACATTCTACCTTGGATTTATCAGGGGCTCCTCCTCTGCCTCTGCCTTGAAATTGATCATTATTGGCTCTGAAATTAGTGGACCTTCCTCTGCCTCTGCCTCTGTCTCTACCTCTACCCCTTCCTGGAAAATTGTTGGAACGAGTATCGGTAGAAGCCTTTAATGCTTGCTCATCTGTGTCTTCCTGTTTGAACTTCTGTTCATGCACCACCAATGAACTCTGCAATTCATCAAGTGACAAATCATCTATATCTTTAGATTCTTCTATAGCACAAACAACAAAGTTAAATTTTGCTGTTAATGATCGAAGAATTTTTTCTATGACAGTTATTTCTTCTATCCTGCCTCCATGAATTCGCATTTTATTGACAATGGTGAAACCGCGTAGAGGGGACGCACTTCTTTTCTTCAGTCTTCACACAAATACTACCCCAGACACTAGCAGTCTCCATGCAGGATGCCCAGTAATCGAAGGTGAGAAATGGTCAGCAACAAAGTGGATTCATGTAGACTCATTCGATAAGACGGTGGGAGCTGGAGGGGACTGCTCTGATCAGCATGAAAGCTGTGAGAGATGGGCTTCCCTTGGAGAATGCACTAACAATCCTGAGTATATGGTTGGATCTTCAGACCTACCCGGGTACTGTAGAAGGAGTTGCAAGGCATGTTAAAAATTTTAGTAACTGCTTTCCAGATTCTACATGGTATTTCTACCTGTGTTTCAAATTTCAATTGGTTCTTGATTTGTTCTCTTTTTTCCTGGATTGTAAAGTAATTCTACATCATTATAGTGGTTAGCTTTTCAGATAGTGCTGTTATGCGGGATTCAGCATTTTTATTCATTGGTTAAAAAAAAAAAAAAAAAGTCGCATTGAGTCTTATTTTCTTAAGGCTGGTTTTATAAAGTGTCCTTATGAACATACACTCTTTGTTAAGACTGGTGATGAAGGAAAAATGCTTATTGTTTGCTTATATGTAGATGATCTTATATTCACTGGAAATTGTGATGTTATGTTTGAAGAATTTAAAAAGTCTATGATGAATGAGTTTGAAATGACTGATCTTGGTATGATGCATACTTTCTTGGCATAAGTGTAGCACAATCAAGTGATGGAATTTTTATTTCTCAAAATAAATATGTGGAAGATATTCTAGACAAGTGATGACCATATAAGTGCAAAAAGACCCATAAACCTACAGCCTTAAGGTTTTGGGTTAAAATGTGGTGTCGGCCCACTTATTGTGGTTTATCGCTTGGCCCATGGTTGTATCCCTTGCAATGGGTTTTGGGCTCCCCGTACCATTCCCAACAGTGGTATCAAAGGTTTGGCTGGGCTGGGTATTCAGAGATGGTGATGTTTCAAGGCCTCCGCAGAAGGCTAATGTGACTCCAATACTTAAAGAACAAAGACTTCCGCAGAAGTTGCCCTTAAGGGGGAGCATGATGTTGGGTCTCATACTTGAGGGGAAGATGTTAGAAGTATTCAAGTATGAGTTGTAATGAAGTACCACATTGGCTAGACCTAGACCAAGTGATGACCATATAAGTGCAAAAAGACCCATAAACCTACAGCCTTAAGGTTTTGGGTTAAAATGTGGTGTCGGCCCACTTATTGTGGTTTATCGCTTGGCCCATGGTTGTATCCCTTGTAATGGGTTTTGGGCTCCCCGTACCATTCCCAACAACTAGGGGTGAAAGTGGGCTGGGCTGGGCTAAGTTTTGCCCTGAAAAGCTTAAGTCTATGCCAAAAAAAATTAATTTAGCCTGGCCCAAGCTTAGTACAAGTCTAACTGTTAGTCTGACTTGGCTCGTTTATAAAAAAACAAATGGTCCGGCCTAGCCCATTAGCCTGTTAATTTTTAACTTCCAAGTAGAACCATGAATCAACTTCACAAAATACTCAAATTTTGTTGCTAAACCAAAAATCACAATTTCAACGTTCAAACAGAATCATGAATCACAACAAAATTCATCATAATCTGCATTTAAGTCACCTTCAAAAGCAAAATGCTCAAACTAAATAACATATATTTCATCAGCTCCAACAAACAAATTCATACTATGTAAATTAAAATAACTACATGAATCCAACGAACACATCATGATGCTTGTAGTAAGTATAAGCTCTCCCAAAAACCTTTTAATATATTCATATACATAATCTAATATGTTGAGATATTGTTTCCTCAAGGTGCAATGAGAAATAAAGTCAGATTTCTATTAAAATATAATTGAGTTTTAAATAATTACAATTGATTAAATTTATATGTCTTGTTTTTTTTTCAAGGCATACTTATTCTATTTTATTTTATTTAAAACAAATAGTACAATATAGGCCGGCCTGTAGGTTTATAAGCCAGGCCTTGTGAAAGTCGGTCTATGGCCTATTTATTAAACAAGTTTTTTCATAACCCAAACTCGGCCTATTTTGCGAAATATATTAGGTCAGGTCTGACCTGACATAGGCCGAGCCGTAGACTCCTGTAAGTCGGCCCGGCCAGTTTCACCCCTATATCCTACGGATAAATTTTTCTGACACATAAAAAAAAAACACTCATATTAGTGCAATAATTGAGGAGCCTCAACTTGCTACATGTGTCTTTTTTTTTTTTTTTTCTTACGGTGCCTCTGCATAACGTGATGATGTGACCGAACTGGGTATTGGAATTCCAGTTTCCCTGCTAAAGCAAGTGCCTTTACTCATCAGGTAAACGCTGCTTAATCTTATGGTGTCGAATATATCACTTTTTCTCTCACTTATTCTTATTCTGTTAGACTGTTTGTCTGCACCTCACGTTAAAACTGTTGCATTGCATCTTTTCTCATGTGAACACAAATTGAAACTGAAATTGAACCCACTTGCTTTGCTTTGCTTTGCTTTGCTTTCCTGTGCCATTTCTCTGCAACCCCTTTATCTTTAACTTAATTTGCAGGTCTCATTTGAGGGATATAATATACCAGTTACTCTCTGTGCGTGTGTGTTCCTTTTAGTGGTTTTGGTTGCTTCACACAATGGCTTGGTGGGATTTAAGATCCCTTTTTCGTTTTCACTCTATTAGGACTCGCTTTCAGGTCAGTGCCTTAAGCATCCCTTCCTTCTCTTTCAACAACTTCGTTCTTCTTCACTCTCATTTACACATTTCTTCTTTTACTTCATCTTCACATGGGCATGCATTTTTATACTTTGTTGAATGTTATATATCTCTGGATACTGGCTTGAGACTCTAAAAATCAGAACTTGAAGCTGTGATTCATGGTATCAAGTTATAAATTAGATGTATATATATATATTTGGGGTATAATATAGCTTGTCCACATCTTGATGGGGATGGGTCTGTATGATAATCCATGTTTTAAATATAGTTGCAACTGCTAGGATGTACATGCCATGCTTGTCTTATGATGGATAATTCTTTTTTGGGACTGTTTCCATAGAGTCTCTTGTGAGATAACTCTAAGATGCAAAATCAGAACAGATAATTCCATGTAAGAGCCAACTTTTTGCAAATTGATAAGAGTATGTATAAACTATAAAAGAGTGATCAGGTGTATTGTGAGAGCATGTGCGGCTGATGTTTGTGGTTGACATAAGTATCTGTGTGATATTGTCCTTTTTCTGGCTACACTTAGTTTATTAAAATAGAAAATAGATGATTAATCAATTGCATGCCTTTAGTTCATTGTGCTATGATCTTTATATGACGAATATAAGCTAATGCAGGCATGCTTTTTGTTTAGTCATGTCAGTTCATTTAATTTAAAGCTGCTGATTTGATAAATGAATTCTTGGCTTGGGCTCATAACTCTTTTGAACTATCTATCTCTTTCATTAGAATTGTGATTCATGTCAACCGACGCTTTATTCCTCTCTTGGCCCTTTTATACTTAAGGATAGAGCCAATATGCCTTCTGTATCATTTCCACTTAAGCAGGCTGTGTAATCTGTTTTTGATTGATTGGCTTAACTTTGAAGCTTACACCATTGTAGATTAAATTCAATTCTTTTTCTTGTTTTGAGATGATTTTCCTGAATCCTGAACCTAGTTGGTCTTTACGTGTGTTTACTGTTTGCACACTTACGATGGACACATGCTCTTGCATATGTAGCCAGAGATGCTGGCATTCATGCTGAAAATAAAGATTTAAAATTTAAGTAATACTTAAGATAGTTGTGAATTACACATAGAGGACTTGCTAGGTCCCTAATTTGGATATTTTGCAGCTTTGTTTAACTTTAATAGATATCACTTGTGTCTTTAGAAAGACAACAGCTAAAAGTTTAAAGAGAAGCAAAGCAAATCAGGGTACTTTCAAGATATTTGTCCCTGAAATTGCTTTCTTTGGGGTTACCTAGGATTTATCAATGAGGAGGCTGGGAATCTCTGCTGTGACTGGTGCCCACTTTTCATCCATTAGTTTTCCATTGATAGACACAAAGAATGAAGAGGTATACAATCTAATTGAGATTTTTCTTGAATACCTAAAGTAGATTCTTCAGGCTTGGCCATTAAAATATTGGCTTCGAGAAGATATATATGAGTACATAACCTGTTTCTAGTATTTTCTTGGACAAGTAATTGTGGCAGAGGTATTGACCTTCAGTTTAATAATCATTTAAGTATAATAATACTGTCTGTATAACTGCTGCTTTCTGTCAGCACTTTTCAACTGCTGTAAATTACTAGAGTATAGTTGAATCGGGTTGTTCACAATGTTTTTTGAGCTCCTTCCTAGACATAGCACTCAGGCAACTTTTGAAATGCTTATTGATTTTTTAGTAGTGAAGGCATTCCCTGTCTAACTCTATCAATATTGTCTTTTCTAAGAACCAGCCCACTTTCCTGATGGACTTCCGTCTTTTCTTTAAATGTTCTAATTCACATTATATTCATGGAACAAATCTACTAGGGTTTAATTGCCTTACCCTTGTATCAGTACATGTAGATATACAACATAATGCCTTTAATTGCCTTACCCTTGTATCAGTACATGTAGATATACAACATAATGCCAACAATGCAAATTTTGCTGGGGATGACTCATCTTTTATTAAATTTGGTTGTTTGTTTTTTGTTATATATACATGATGGACATCTGTTGGTGTTTATGAGAGAAGGATAACATGTTCATTTCTGACTACTCCTAATCTCAATTGTGGTTTTTGTCTGCCCTAGGAATTCAGGACGACGGAAGTCCAGCTAGGTTCACATACTATGAGTTCTCATGGATATTCAGTTGCGAGAACACACAAGCATGATTGGCTTATACTATTGCTCCTTGTGTTGATTGATATCATCCTATACATTATCCATCCTTTCTATCGTTTTGTTGGGAAGGATATGATGACTGATCTCAAATATCCCCTGAAGAGTAATACAGTTCCTTTTTGGGCTGTTCCTGTAAGTTTACTGCTTCAGACATAACTTGGGCAAATGTATTTTTTCTTTAATAATTACGTTAACATGGTTATCTTGTTGTTACTATTTTGTCATGGTTAGATGTATTCAGTTTTATTGCCTATGGTGATCTTTCTTGTTGTCTATATCCGAAGGAGAGATATCTATGATCTTCATCATGCCATACTGGGTATTAACTCCCCTCATGTATTTAATTACTATGAAGCATATTCTATTTGCTAAAATGGAACAGTTAAAAATTGTGACAGGAAATTGTTTGCTGGCACAGGTCTATTGTTCTCCATTTTAATAACAGGAGTAATTACTGAAGCAATAAAAAATGCAGTAGGCCGACCTCGACCTGACTTCTTCTGGCGATGTTTTCCAGATGGAAAGGATGTAAGTCGTCCTTGAATGTTAGGTTTACATTTCTTTTTTGTATGAACGATTTTGTCCTCCAGTGCAGGCAAGTTTATGTTTATCAATTCTATTGATTCTTAATAGCAGGCGTATTTAATGATTAACGGCTTCTTGTCAGGTTTATGATAAATGGGGAAATGTCATTTGTCATGGTGACAAGAATGTCATAAAGGAAGGACATAAGAGTTTCCCAAGTGGCCATACTTCGTGTACGTAGCATTTATTTTATATGCTGTTTATATAAATGTCTAAAAAAAGACTGGTTTTGCCATGCTCATAAGTCATAACTTTGCTGTAATTTAGTTTCAAGAGAAATGGATGGTGGAATTAGTTTAACTCAAAGCATGTTTATCAAATAATTTCAATTTGTATGCAGGGTCATTTGCTGGTCTGGGGTTTTTATCGTTATACTTATCTGGAAAAATAAAAGCATTTGATCGCACAGGCCATGTTGCAAAACTTTGCATTGTTTTTCTACCACTACTTTTTGCATCACTTGTTGGCATTTCTCGAGTTGATGACTATTGGCACCACTGGGAGGACGTGTTTGCCGGAGGTCTTTTAGGTTGGTTCATCTTTAATATGTAAATTAGTCATTAATTAACTAGGCCTCCTGTTCAACCCAATAAAAGAACTTACCACTGTTGTTGACTATGTAAATTTTTTTCTTTCAGGGCTTATAGTAGCTATGTTTTGCTATTTGCAGTTTTTTCCTCCTCCTTATCATTCTGAAGGTATGCTTCAATGCAGATTCTGTTAGACGACTTAGTATGTAGTATAACTTATTGACACATGCTAGTTTGTATGTCTTTCTGTGCATTGATATTCTGTTCACATATGCTTTGAACTTTTCTTCTGATGATACATCTTTCGTAGAGGTTTGGATTCTAGATACCAACCACGTATCTAGGTGTGGGAGTCATCAATACAAAGAATTTTGCCTGCGTTATTAGCTATTTGGTTAGGGCTTTTACATGTTTGTATTATAACAATGGGAAGTGAGCACAGAATTTACATTTATTGCCAGGGAAAGAACCATTGCTCAGAATTGACATTTGTTTATGGTTAAATCAATTTGAAGTTAAGCTTCTATTCTTAGTAAACAATTAATCATGACTCACTTTAAATAATTTCTTGTTAAAAATTACCAAGCTGATAAATTTGTATCTGTTATGAAGCATGCTGCCAATCATTTGATGCTCTCTATATGTATTGTTTTTCTCTGCAGGCTGGGGACCTTATGCTTATTTTAGTATGTTGGAAGAATCAAGAGGGATGAGACAAGCTCCTAATGCTCAAAATGCTGGTCAAGACCAGTTAACAGAGACTCAGGTTGAGAACCCAGAGGGACAAAGTCACCATGGGTGTCTGGGGTTAACTTTATCACGTGATCATACTTCTACATTGGATGAAATTGAATCTGGGAGGGGATAAAATCTGTACATCACATGATTTTGCTCTTTGTGAATCATATGACATATGTTAGGTGTCCTAGGATTTAACCAGGATTTAAAACTGACTAACACATTTTGCTGAATGAATTTCTTCTCATTTAGTCACCGCCATCTTTAAAAAATATGAAGCATACAAGAGTTAGATTTGGGACAACCTCTGTTATTTCTTTATTTGCGAATCTGTGGATATGAGGAAATACGAAATATTTTGATCGAAGATCCTCTATAGATAGATATCCCGGACAGCCGAGTTATTGAAACATAATTTCATCCTGAAAAATAAAACAAAAATTATAGTGTTATCAAGATATTTGAAAATTAGGAATTGGTATGTTTGGATCAATTGTATTTTGATTAATATAACAATGATACGAGGTATATAAGAATCTCCATGGGTTTTTTCCCCAATATTTTAGTTTCTATCAGACCCGATTTCCCTTCTGACCTTATAACTTTTGATGATGACAAACTATGCCTAATTGTTTTAATTTGATTGAATATTGTTGTAAAGGAATATTATATTACATCTCTTTTTCTATCTGGTTAAAAAATAATTAAAGGGGGGAAAAAACTATCGTACCCAAAATCACATAAATTTAATGTAGTTTGACCCAAAATGTTTATATCAGTATATGATAAGAGATAGATTTCACCGTAAATAAGATTATAACACAACTTTTGATGATAAAGTTACAAATCTTCAACATTAACATTAATCACAATTTTTTCTCTTTCATTTTGATAATCCTAAAAATGCCACAATACAAGTGTTTACAGAATTACAGCCTTCAAAAACTTGCTTGACATGCAATCATCTTTATACAACATATTTTTAAAAACAAAGGGAGCAAGTTGTAGGCATTTGTTTGACAGGGAGTGGTATTAGGTATTTGTATGCATAAAGCTTGCAAGTAGTTTTCCTTTTCTTTTTCTTTTGCTTTTTTATTTATGTTGTACCTCAATGCTTTAGGCCTACATTTACAAATATATAAACAATAAACTACTCTACACTAGTACAAGGATATAAATTATTGAGATGTTTGTGCCATCTTTAAAGACTTGTTTGGTGGACATGATAAAATAAGGGTAGGATATGATATGATATGGGGCTGATAAGCCTATATCATATACTGTGTTTGATGAGCACCTGATTAGCAATATCATAAGATTATATAGAAGAAGAAAAGAGAAAGAAAAAACAAAATATAATGCAATAAATACAATATATTGGGTAGCGCGTGGTAATATATTGGGTAACGTGATAATAAATTGGGTATCCAATATTGGTTTCCTATCCTGTTGAATCCTAACCCAACTTCCCCGTAAGATAAGAAATCATGTATTGGATAGGATAAAATGAGACAACAGGATAAGCTAAAAGATAAAAGTAGAATATGATAAGTTATCCTATCCTATCTTCTTTATCATCAGGTGTTCCAAACAGACCTTTAAGTGGAGTAAATCTTTAGTACTCATACTCGATGCACATGGAGTTCCAAACTGAATTAATTCAATGTAAACAGAAGACATTGACATTGTAATGCTCATATGAGTTTCACATTATGAATTAAATCAAATAAAGCATCTCATATTACAAATTTGGTGCGCCGTAGGACAATCAAATGTGTCAATTTTCACAATTCAACAACAAAAGCAGAAACAATGCAATAACAAGAAAAAATTCGTGAAACAAAGCAAAAATGAAAATTGCAACAACATGTAGTATCATATCTGAATAACAATTGTTTTGTTGGAATCTGAAAAATCTTTCTTGGATTTTCTAGCCTTACGGGTCTGGAGAGCAAAATTGTATCCAAATCCTTGGCCGAACCCGAACCCAACACCTAACCCACAACCCATTCCCAAACCAAAAACGAGGTTAAGGTGGTTGAAGGGCCACCCTCCATACCCTAAGCCACCAACCAAACCGAAGCCTATACCCGCGCCGCACCCGATCCCAGCACCAAAGCCAGGACCCAACACTGATGTTTGAGGTTTGTGGGGTTTGTTTCCAAGGAACTTGGTCACTGAGAATTTGTGCTGGTTGCTGCTGCTGCTGTTGTTGTCATTCCAAGTCCAGAATGAGTCAGCATCAGCTTTGGTTTCCATTGCGTAGAAAATTAGGACAAAAACAAAGGGTTGTTACGGTGGCTGCGAATGGATAGGATTTCTAACTTCTAATGTTTGGGTATGTTTATAACTTTCTGCCTCACCAGCCCAACAAGGAGCCAATAGAATATTTAGTGCAGCTGTGTTTAAATTTTAAGGAAAATTGTTTTTTTTTTTTTAAAGCAGTTATACTTAATATCATTTTAAGCTTAGTATTTTATTGGTTTATTATTGGATTAATTTGAAATTAACAACTAAAAAATTCAACAGTAACTAATCTGATAGTAAAAGTAGTAAGGCTAAAATGATAATAAATATAACATTTTTCATTTTGGAAAGAATGTTTATCATATGTTATATCATTTCAAGTGAAACAATTGTATTTTACGAATATTTATCTTCTTTCTCTTCCCCAAAATAAAGAGAAGAGAGAAAGAAAGAGTATTGTGAAAGAGAAAAAAGATAAATATCCACAAAAATGCAATTATTTTACTTAAAATAACATAAAGTCGTGCTTTTTTGTGGATATTTATCTTTTTTGTCCTTGTGTCATTTAAAATACAAAATTTTCCTTATATTTTTATAAAGAATTTTTGAATACATATATATTTTTTTTCAATTAATCAAGAACAATTTATTTTAATATAGATGTAAATATTCTTACACTCAATTTTAATTATTGATTTATTTGGCCCTAATGAATTGAATTACATCTATTAATTAATTAATTACTTCTATTTAACTAGAATTATTAGATTGTAAGTAGCTAGATCGACCATTAAAATTAATTATAAAATGTGCCACTCCAAGCCAATCAACTTATTTGAGAATCGAATCCAAGCAACCATAACATGGATGAGAAGTTTGATCAGATGTCCTAATTATAACCCTTTCATTGCTAAATATAAAAATTTTACATTAGACATTAAGAAGAAGAAAAACAGAGAATTAATTAAAGAAAACAATTTACATGGGATAGAGTTCATGAGAAGCAACCAAGGTCTTGGAAATCTCAAATATGAGCCTGGCATCAAATGCATCACGGGAATAACCCTTATACACTTGACGAGCCTTTGGAATCCGTTTCACACCAAAGATGTTATCACTATCAGTGTTCATGGCGCCTATGTTACCAGCCAACCTCAACATAAAGTTCATATAAGCATTCTTAAGTTTTGTCAACATCTTCAATGGTGAACTCATCAACCATCTCAGCCTTGGTATTGCTCTGATCCTCCAATACCTACGTGGGCTTCTTTTCAACCGTATGATCTTCATCTTCTTTCCACTCCGGTTGAGAGGCTGATAGTGCCTCCTTCTCCAGTACCTCTTTATGCCACCATAGGTTCTCTTAGGCAATAGTGACTCAATTTCCATGTTTTGCTTATTAGAGTGAATAGATTGTGCTTGCACTAGGCTTTGCTACTTCAACCATATTACATATAAGAGAAACCAGAAATCCGTACTCTTAAAATACTAAATTTAATTTGCTCAATGTGGCTGCTTTTGAGGAAGAAAGTCAACAAACGACTTTGTCCCGAGGTGGTCCTTGTCATGAGTACTGAACAAACAGCACCAATAGTTTTTCCCTTCCATCAATTATAGGGTTTGATTTTTCTCAAGTTGCATAAGATAAAACTATTTCATGCAACACACAAAAAAGTAAGTAGGGTTCACTTTGAAAAAAGAGAGAAAGAAAAAAGATGGGTCTCATTCACTTTTTTATTTGTTGCATGAAATAATGTCTCATGCAATATGAAAAACACATTTTCCTCAATTATATTAGGGTTATATATGTCTTGTGTCACACACAAAAAAATAACACTTTGCTGCAGATACAAATAACAAGTGGGGCTGCATATTTTATTTTCTCATTCCTTATTTTACTTTCTTTCTGCATTTTCTTGTCTCTATTGGAAGAGAGAGAACTTATCAGCAGGAGAAGTTCTTCTCCCATTAAATTATGATGGAAACTCACTCTCTTTTTTATGTTTTTAACAAACGAGGAAAGCAGAAGTATTTTCCTAGTTCTCTCCTTTTGGGTACTTGAGTTTCTTTTTTCTTTTTCTTTTTCTTTTTCTTTTAAATATTAGGTATTTGACTTCATTTTTACTATAGGTCTAACACCAACACTATTTGTTCCATATTCTTGTCAACTTACTACCGCAAATTAAAGTATAAATTGTTAAGTGAAAATACGTGAATAGCTTTACATTGCATCTTTAATAATTTTAATAAAACAAAATTAAACTATAGACTATATAATTATAAAAATTATGATACATATAAATTATCAGGTGAAAAGTATGATTCTTAATTTGATCTATATTCCATGATGTGTGATGACTATAATTGTTTGCAAGGATGCATGAACTGTCATGAAATATGAATCGTGGACAACCTTGAGATGTTGAATCATTCACAAAAGTTATGATGAACCAAGGATATCATATAGAATTCGTAAGTTATGATCGCGCTAAGAATACAAAAATACCTTCTAGAAAGAACCTAATAAAATTATAGAATTATTTTAGATATAAAAAATTTTGCTATAATTTTCATCAAATGTATCATAATTTCTTGCCTCCGATGAGTGTGGTCCAATGCACCATTTATTCCAATACAGAACTAGCCTTAGGATCCTATATTTTATTTTTACCATCAAATTTTTATTATTTACCTTTATGCCTTCTGGTATTATAATTGCATTTTCTTTGATTTCTTCGTAATCTTATTTTTCTCAATTAGCTATTATTTAGTAGAACCATTAAATTAATTAACATCTTATTTATTTTTAGCATCTGGTCCCAATTAATAACTGATAAATAGTACAAAGCCTTTTTTCTTTGCCAACAAAATCAAAACTTAATTACTCTTCTCCTAAGTTCTGACATGACAATATGTACAAATTTTTAAATGATTATAAAAAGAAAATTAGATAATCAATCAATATAAAATCAAATTCTAGACAAATTTGATAGGTAGAGTAATTGTGCATTACTAACTGCATTCTTTTTTGTATACAGCTGAAAAGCTAGCTTTCCACATTGATTGGAGAGGATAGCAGACCAAGAACAAAACCTGACATATATGCTGGCATCTTGAATCTAGTAAATAATAGTTATCTCCAATTAGTTGCAATAAACGATTGAGCATTTTTCTTATGAATAACATCGCTTATCTTTCACTTTTTAAAAACACTTTCAAAATTTTGTTTTTCCCATATCATATTGTATATCGTATATATAGTAGGAGAGAATTTTTAATGTTTCAAGACCACTGAATTTGGGTGGTTCTTTTTCCAAAATAAAAAAAAGTGATTTCATTTAAATCTCCTTTTTTTCATAATTTTCTTTCAATCTCTTCCCTTTTCTATTTTTGAAAGGTAACATCTTGCTCCTACAGCATCAAAAAAGCTCTCATATAATAGAACATATTTTCAGATTTTAGGGAGCGGGCCTAGCCCCTGTGTAGGTCCACCCTGGAGCCAAGGATGTAGAATTCTACACACACAAAATTATATTATTATTATTTACAAAAAAAAAATTATATTATTATTTTTGGTTAAAAAAATTATATTATAAATCTAGAACATATTTATATCAATATTATTAAAAGAGTTTAATTTCTTAAAATTTTATTATTATAGTCAAATTCTTTTCATTATGTAAGAATAATTTGTTATATAATAATAAATTAAAATTTTAAAACAATTATTATTAAAAAATGTCTTTTGCTATAAAAAGATTACTCTTGTTAAGATTTTTTTTATTTACTGTTTACATTTCAATGGCATTTTTAAAGCTTATAAATCAAATTAATTTAACCACAAGCGTGACTTAGGGTTATCCAATTTTTTTTTTTTTTTGGAAATTTTTCAATCGATTTATCACTTCACGATTAATCTGATTCGAAGCGAGTCCAGGATTAAGGTTTTAAACCCCTCCCAAAGGTGGTACTGGGGAGGATTGAACACATGCTCCCAGTACCACCTTTGGGATGCTCCCCAGTACCACCTTTGGGAGGGGTTTAAAGCCTTAATCCTGGATCCGTCCCGAATCGAACTAGTCGCGAAGCGATGAACCGATTGAAAAATTTTCAAAAAAAAAAAAAATTTATTATCCAATTTTAAGGTTATAAAAAAGCCCTATTGTGGTATTTTTTTTGTTTTTGACGAGCACAATATGAAATAATTATGTACAATTTTTTTAATATATATAGGGTCCATTTTTTCTTATGTTGCTAAAAAAAATTTATTTTATGTCATCTATTATAATTATGTACTCCGGAGAATACATAATTATAATATTAAAAATATTTTTTTCTCTCTCCCACGTCAGCTGACAACTTCTAAGAGAGAAAAAAAGAACTTTAATATTATACCTATAAACCTCCCGAAATACATAGTTATAATAGTTGACATAAGATAACTTTTTTTCCCAATATCACAAGAGTGTCATTTCCCATATATATATGAGTTATTTTAAATTTTCTAATCAGATTTCTAAATAATTATTCTAATTATTAAATATATTTTAATATTAAATAATAAAAGAATTTTAAAAGGTTGTTTTGACTATATAAATTTCTTGTGCATGTATTGCTGCTAAGATGTAGATTAAAGTCATAAACTACAAGTGGTGGGAATATTCAAAGAAAGAAGGTGGAAAAAGAAAGAGAGGTGATAAGAAGATAAAGGAGGTGGACAACGTCAGGGATTACGTCGCTCCGAAAAAGAGACGAAAAAGACTGAGAAATGGAAATAATTTCTTTATGGATTTATATCTTACATGTAACCGGAAAAATAGATAGTTTTTTATACACACAATATTTTGTGGCATCATATTTTTTGAAGCAAAAAAAAAAAAAAAAAAAAAAAACCTAAGACACAAAATACGAATCTTTATAATATGAATATGATCACTTCACTTTTCCTACAACATAACTGTTATAAAATCTTTTCTTTATATATTTTTTATACTCCGGTTTGTATTATTGTATATATTCTTTTAAAAAGAATAATTTCTTATAAGACTTCTGTCGTACGTGGATGACAACGGTTGAATTTATTTAAGCTCCATAATCCTTATAAACAATAATTTGAAATACTGTAATATTCTTATAAATTTGATGAAAATATAGCTAGTATGACTTTCAGAAATATATGTTAGATTTATATCATAACGAATTAGCATATATATATATATATATATATATATATATATATATATATATATATATATATATCAGGTTTAACTATTTTGTAATAAAGTAATATTTTTGTAAATCACTTTTTATATTACTTTTCAAATAAATAAATTATAAAAATTATTTTCTTCATAATAACAATTTTTAAAGGATTAAGATAATTTTACATCAATATAAATTATACTCTAAATCTTAATAACCCTGATTTATTAAATACGTGAATTTATTAAAAAAATTATTTACTCTTGTAATTTTAAGTATTTGATAAAAGTTATATAATTTTTTAAAATCTTATAAATTTTTATTTTCCTTTTAAATTTTTTAAATCTTATAAATTTCAATTATAATTAAAAAATTAAAAAAAAATTAAATCATTATCACATGTATGAACCATGGGCGTTTGGCCAAGTTGACAACCAGAATGACTTCGAATATAAGAAAACATCATTGTCAAGATCAGCAGCTTCTTCTGACAACTTGACCTCTACATGATAAATCCAATAAATTATTGTCAACACTAACTCGCCGCTACATCTATCAAAACTAGCTTGATTATACGCTTCTTGCTCAAGGAATAGCTTGTAAAAGGATATCATAATTCTCCACCATTCGAAAGGCGGTATGAAACAAGTAGGGGTGTTCGCGGTCTGGATTGGATCGGTTTTGAAGCAAAAAACCATCCGATCCAATTCCTTCGGTTTGGTCATTACATCATCCGATCGGTTTGAATTTTTTTTCAAATCCGATCCAATCCGATCCAATTTTTTTCGGTTTGGATTGGATCGGTTTTCGGTTTTTTGAAAAACCAAAAAAACAAAACTTAAAAGAATTATTTTTAAAAAAGTGATGATGTTTCAAAACATTTCAAAATTCAAACGGTTATCAGAATTGGTTCACATGTCTTGTACATCAGTTAAAGGCTCAAAGATTATGTCACAGCCACACAAAATCAAAGATTACGTGAAACGGTTATCAGAATTGGTTCACATGGATTAGAAGCAGAAGAACTGCAGAGAACACGAGAGATCTTAAAAACGTTATGTCACAGCCACACAAAATAAAAAGCGATTGTTTGAAACCAACGAAAAATGAAGGAAAATATTATTGCTTCATCACACGAATAACGGGAAGAAATTTAGAAATCTGCTTTGCTATACCTTTATCATTCCCTTGATGCAAATAAAATCAAGTGTTATAGTACCTTTGTTATATGTTTATTTGGTTGTTTAACGGAAGAGACAAACGTTGAATTTGGAGAAGAAAGAGATATGCTACTGGTGCCAGAGCGTGAGTGACTGAGAAGAGTGAGAGACTAAGAGGACGGCAAAAGTGAGTTTGGATGGATTAGATTTAGAACTTTGGGTGGGTTTAAAACTGATGGGCTAACGCACGAGTGAGTTTAAAACTTTGGGCCGGCTATTATTTGGGATAGGTAATAGGTATAATTTGGTAAAAAAAAGTTTGGATCGGTTTGGATTGGATCGGTTTTCAACATCAAAACCGAAAACCGATCCAATCCAGTAATTTTTTTCGGTTTTCAGTTATTTCGGTTTTCGATTTTTCGGTTCGATTTTTGCGGTTTAAATCGGCTTGAATCGGTTTATGAACACCCCTGGAAACAAGACACCCTTCCACTATAAATGGAGAGGCTTCAGAGCACTTAAAATTATCTATCCTTGAATACTTTAACCATATTAAACTCAGAACTGATTTGAGCTTTGGAATATCTTGCGGTCTTCTCAAATTGCACAAAATCCAGACGGACCGAATCAACCATCTCACCAAGCAGTACATCATCTCACCAACCCTCTTTTCAACAACACTTCTCTTCATCAATATCTTTTATCTTGTGATCAGCCTCAGTCCAACTGTTACTGGACTGATCAGTATGTATAATTTTTTCTTCCTTTTGTTTCTGACATCACATTACATGAGATTTCTGCATAAAATTTGTAAGTGTAATTAAGAAATATGTTGCTTTTTAAATTTTGTCAACCAGCAACACACTGTCAAGATAAGGACAAAAACAAGGCGGCTTTTCTAGTTTTCAAAAATAAATAAATAAATAAAAACAGGGTCTGATGTGTGTTCGGCGGATTAATAAGTAATCTAACACATTCAAGAGCAGTCAAACTTCTAGATACATGCGTTTTTTTATATTACTTTTCCTGATTCAATTTCTAGGTGCTGATCAGGTGCTTGCAATCTCGTGTCTTCGTGTTGCACTCATGAATAAAGTTATTTAATTTGACGTACACCGCAAATAAATGAATAAAATGAATTTCATGCTTTAAAAATATTCACCCTTGCTTCGATCTGCCCATATAATAATACTTGTTATCTTACCATGGGTTGCACTAGCCATTTAAATTTCATGCTCGTAACAATAAATTTTTCATTTAACAGTCAAGTATTTAATTAATACATGTTTTAAACTTTTGCATCAGTGGAGACCAAAATATTAAATTCAGCTCAAGCAACCTTAAGGACACACCCGTGGTATTATGACCTTATCACGTTTAGCTAATTATTTTAGTTGTCTCTCAATCAAAGTTTACTATGAAAAAAATATAGATAGATAAATATATATTGGAAATAGGAGTTTATTAGAATAAAAATTGTTAGGAAGAAAATGCTATGTTGCACATGTTGACTCAGACGGTCACACCCACCATCTCAGGTCAAAGCGTAGTTTCTTGACTTCTTTATTTTATTTTATTTTTTCAAAAGCAAATCCCTTTAAATCCTCCAACGTGCAATGCCTGATGCAAACAGGAGTAATTTACTTCTATAAACAAAGAAGAGAAGCTCACCTCCATCTCCATCAACTTCAAGCTCTTGAAAAGCTATGGAAGTTGATTCACTACTGCCTAAGCCAACTTACGGTGGCATAAAGAGGTCATGGAGAAGGCGGCGCTACCAGCGCCTCGATGGCGGCGGCGGCGACAACAACAACAACGGTGGAAAGAAAATGAAGACCGTAAGGTTGAGAAGAAGCCCTCGTAGGTCTTGGAGGATAAGAGCAGTTCCAAGGTTGACATGGATGGTTAGGTCACCATTGAAGATGTGGACAAAGCTTAAGAATGTTTATATGAACTTTATGTTGAGGTCCATGGACACTGACAACATCTTTGGTGGGAAACGGATTCCGAAGGCTAGTGAAGTCTCTAAGGGTTATACCGGCGATGCCTTTGAGGCCAGGCTCATTTTTGAGATCTCCAAGGCCTTGGTTGCTTCTCATGAACTATATCCCATGTGATTGTCTTTTTTCATATGTTTTGTTTCTTTTTTGGTTCTTTCTCTTTTTTCTCTTCCTGTTAAATTTTCTTTCGTTCCCATGTGCTTCCGCAGAAAATGTTAAGGAATCACCAAGAATTGTTCACCTTTTAATTTTCCTTCTCTTCATACATTTGTTTATATTCATTGTTGAACGCACTTGATTGGAATCTGTTCATATATATAAGCCATATGTTCACATTTTTTTTTTTGTCAATTTCCTTTCCGTCATAATTTATATGGCTTTTAATATCAAATTCTCTCTCTCTCTCTCTCTCTCTCTCTCTCTCTCTATATATATATATATATATATATATATATATATATATATAAATAGAAAAAAATATTTCTACATCTACTTTTTTTTTTGAAAAGCAAACAGGAAATATAAAAACAAAAAAAGAAACTAGGAACACCTCCTAGACCAAACTACTCCTACATAGTCCCTTTCAAGTTTGTCACGACAACCAGAAGGAGGCGAGTCAAACTCTTGTAAAGACCAATCAAAGGAGTAGGCAAAAGAGGCCATCCAATCGGCAACCCCATTCCCTTCCCTATGAATATGGGAAATTCTAACCCTCCAATTCCAATCCAGCATATTCCTTATGCGCAAGACCAAGTTAGAGGCTGGATGATGAGAGCTGCACCCTTCTTTTTTATGAAAAACTGGGCTACTAAGGAATCACCTTCAAGCCAGACAAAACGGAAACCTTTCCTCCATGCAATCTCAAGCCCAAGGAGACAACCCCAAAGTTCTGCTAACAAAACATTACCACAGCCAAGATTTTTACAAAAGCCAACAAGCCACCTTCCACTAGCATTCCTAAATACACCCCCACAAGCAGAAGCTTCTCCATTATTCATACTTGACCCATCCACATTGAGCTTAACCCAAGGGTCCGAAGGAAAAACCCAATAAACTAATTTCTCTTTATTCGAGTTAGTCTCAAGACCAGCAACCCGAAGCGTGTTTTCTGACCAAGAAAAATCTTCACCATAGACCATAGCAGCTCTAAAAGTGCCATAAGCAGGAACAGAAGATCCCTGAAAAATTTTCTTATTCCTAGCTTGCCAAATGAAACAGGAAATGATACCAAACAGAAGAGGCCATGATGGCAAATTGGACCAATTACGATCCTCAGAGATATTGGACAACACCCATTGCTGAAGATTAAGAGAGAAAAAATCCTCCCAAGCCTCTCGCTTAACTGCAATCTCCCACACTTTTTTTGCTGCAATACAATCTCTAACCGCATGTAAGGAAGTTTCCGTAAAACAATTGCACATATGACATATATCTGAACCCGCCATGTGTCGTCTGCAACGCCTTTCATTTGTCAAAATTTTATCTCCTAACAACAGCCAAAGGAACGTACGAATCCGTTCAGGTCCATGCCACTGCCAAACGCGATTCTAAGGTAAATTGGTAGATTCCTCGTTACCCCTGGATATGGCCATATAAGCGGACTTCAGCGAAAAACTCCCATCAGATGTCCTTGTCCACAAAATTCGGTCATGACCATTAACATCTGAAGGAGGAAGGATGTTATTAATACGAGCATTGACGTGATCGGGAAGACTATGCTGGAAAGCCCCCCACATCCAACTTCCGGAGGATGAGACAAGATCAGAGACCATTAGCTGATGATTTATCTGAGAGGGATCAGAAATAGCAGCATAGGATGAGAGTGCACCACAACCCGGAACCCACGGGTCATCCCAAAAATGAGTAGAATTTCCATTACCTAGCAAAATTCTGGAATGCTGTAATATCACAGGCCAAGACGAAACAATTGCTTTCCAAAGAGAGGAGCTATTCCGAGTAGCAGAAATATTAGGAACCAAATCAGACTGAACTTTATACTTGCTCTTTAAAACTCTAGCCCAAAGCGCGTCTGGATTAGAAAGGATCCCATAACCAATTTTCATAATAAAAGCCCTGTTAACTTCCTTCATTTTCCTCAGACCCAGCCCTCCATGATCTTTATCCATGCACAACTGATCCCACGCAACCAGATGAGGACGAGTAGATGCTCTATTAGAACCCCACAAAAACCTCCTAATATGTTTCTCAATATCATTGCAGATTCCGAGAGGAACAACAGAAACTTGAATTGTGTAGGCTGGAATAGCTGAGAGAACAGCTTTCGAAAGTGTAATTCTTCCTGCTAGAGAAAGACTGGTGTGGTTCCAGGCATTAATCCTAGATTGAACTCGATCGAGGATATGACTGAAAGCCGCCCTCCCAACTCTGCGATGATGAAGAGGAATACCCAAATACTTTCCAAGATCCACCGTCCTTGAGAAGCCCAACTCACCACTAAGTTCCTCTGCCAAAATATGATTCACATTGTGGGAGAAGAGAATTTTTGTTTTTTCATGGTTAACCTTTTGCCCAGAAGAAAGACAAAAATCATCTAGCACCTTGGAAATGGTTTGGGCCTGATCAAAGGATGCATCCGCACAAAGAATAAGATCATCCGCAAAAAAGAGGTGAGAAATGGGAGGAGCATTTCTCCTCAACATGATCGGCTTCCAGCACTTTTGCCTAACTGCATGGGAAATGAGATGACCAAGTCGCTCCATACAAAGAATAAATAAATATGGGGACAAAGGGTCACCCTGTCTAAGCCCCCTGGATGGGAAAAACTCCTGAGTTGTAGAACCATTCCAAAGAACATTCATCGAACAAGAAGAAACACACCACATAACAAGATTAATGAGATTTGGAGGGAGTCCCACATCCTGAAGAGTATCTCGGAGAAAGTCCCAGCTAATTCTGTCATAAGCTTTCTCCAGATCCACCTTAATCATCATCCAACCTTTGGCGCCCTTCTTTGACCTCATAGAGTGAATAATTTCCTGAGCAATAATTACATTATCTGTCCCTTGCCTTCCTTTGATGAAACTACACTGGTTAGGCATAACAATTTTATCCATCTGCAATTTCAAACGGTTAGCAATAAGCTTAGTAATAGTCTTATAAATAACATTACAAAGGCTAATAGGCCGGAAATCTTTAAGGGATTGAGGTGAAGTTATCTTCGGGATCAGGCAAATAAGAGTTTGATTAATATCCCGAACTATTTCTACATCTACTTTAGATAAGATTATCTACAACTACTTCAAAAACTAGGTTGATTAATTAAAGGTGTTTCTGTAATTTTAGGTGAATGAATGAAGGGTGTTTCAGTAAAATGCATATAATAAAAAAATTAACAAAATTATGGAAACACATTTTATTAATTCATCTTAATTACAGAAACACCTTTCATTAATCAAAACGACGTAATTTTTGGGTAGATATAGATAACCTTATCTAAAGTGGTTGTAGAACTGTTTACCCCTATATATATATATATATATATATATATATATATAAGATCATTTTACATTAAGATTACACTGTCAATTTTACCCATTTTATATATCAGTCATCAAAAAATTTACCCATTTTATATATCAGTCATCAAAAAATTTACCCATTTTATATATCAGTCATCAAAACATAAATCTCTAGAGTAATTAGAATGACCAACAGTTAAGAGAGTTGATGTTTGATCGGCCAATAATTATTGGGCTGGATTGCACAGGATTGAGGTAAATCATGTTGATGAAGAGAATGATGTCGACATGATAGTTGCCGAGATGTCTGGGCTATTAGGAATGGAATGAGGGAGCCCAAAACTCTTTGCAAAGGATTGTTTATCAATGGGCCAAGCGATAAACCACAAAGTGGACCGACATCACATCTCAACCCAAAACCTTAAGACTGTAGGTTTACGGTTCTTTTGCACTTATATGGTCATCACTTGGTCTATGTCTAGCCTATGTGGAACTTCACCACTACTCACTCACACTTGATTATTTTCAACATGGGCTTGTGTGGTGGTGTTAATTTGGGCAATTTGAGGAGATGAGATGTATTTGTAAGACACTCCGACACTCAAGTTAGTTCGGTATTTAAGTACTTCAAGTATTCAATAATAGATTATCCTACCTAAGCTGAATGCATCTGTATTTATAGTGAATATGGATGCCTTGCTTATGCCGATGACGGTTTTCATTCCTATTGATGAAGAGTGGCCGGTGGCCTTTCACAAATTGTGTTGAGGCAAGCTGGTGTTGTCTTTCATTAGTTTTATGTGGTGGTCAAGTGGCTCTGAAGAGCTGATCTCATCAAGTCCCATTTGCCTGTGCAGCTTTGCTAATGGATGTCAGCTGAGAACGTAAGATGTCTGCGGCCTTTACGCGGGATGTGCGCATATTCTTCATCATTAAGCGATGGCTCTTGGGTCTTTTCGGCTCCTAGGTTGGGCCTTCATCTCTCAGGGTATAGATCAATGTTGATATATAAGCAAGTAAAGCTCAAGTATTTTGACAAAAAAAGAAGAAGATAAAGCCCAAGTGTAACAGTATATATATGTATAGAAATGACCGTGAAAGTTTTGATCCGTTAGCAGCCAAATGGTTTGAAATCCTTGGGTAACGAAATTTTCATAACCAAGACTATAGTCCTACCCGAATAATGTATTTTCCTTTGACCAATATATAGTTTAATTAAGTAGTTTCTCGGATACTATCAAATTTGAAATGTTGTCGATAGATATCTTGACTTGGTACTAATAATTTAATAACAAATGGACTATCTTTATCACCTCACTGTTACTTTCAATTTTTGACCAAAAATTTATGAAAAGTTTAATAGTTCACAAAGTAAAGTATCCCAAAAATAAAAATAAAAAATTGACAAACTTAACTAACAGGAGACAATTTGTGTGGGTGTAAATAGAGCAAGTAACTTATTACGAAATATACAGTAGACTCGAGCTTATTTTCAAGATACTTGTTTAGAAACCGGATCATGGATCTATTTTTGCAAGGTTTAATCTACAAGTTTAATGGACAGCCTATATCATATTATTTATATTAATTAAAATAAAGAAAAATAATTATTTAAATAATTTAATTAATAAATAATACTATTTTTTTAATTCTTATAAGTATTAAAAATATAACCGGCTTAAATAAGTTAAT